GGCAACACGGACTTTCAACTCCCTCCAAAGGTTTTCTATGGGGTTGAGATCTGGAGACTGGCTAGGCCACTCCAGGACCTTGAAATGCTTCTTACGAAGCCACTCCTTCGTTGCCCCGGGCGGTATGTTTGGGATCATTGTCATGTTGGAAGACCCAGCCACGTTTCATCTTCAATGCCCTTGCTGATGGAAGGAGGTTTGCACTCAAAATCTCACGATACATGGCCCCATTCATTCTGTCCTGTACATGGATCAGTCGTCTCCTGGTCCCTTTGTGAGAAACAGCCCCAAAGCATGATGTTGCCACCCCCATGCTTCACAGTAGGTATGGTGTTCTTTGGATGCAACTCAGCATTCTCTCTCCTCCAAACACGACGAGTTGTGTTTCTACCAAACAGTTCTATTTTGGTTTCATCTGACCATATGACATTCTCCCAATCCTCTTCTGGATCATCCAAATGCTCTCTAGCAAACGTCAGACGGGCCCCGACATGTACTGGCTTAAGCAGGGGGCCACGTCTGGCACTGCAGGATCTGAGTCCCTGGCGGCGTAGTGTGTTACTGATGGTAGCCTTTGTTATGTTGGTCCCAGCTCTCTGCAGGTCATTCACTAGGTCCCCCGTGTGGTCCTGGGATTTTTGCTCACCGTTCTTGTGATCATTTTGACCCCACGGGTGAGATCTTGCGTGGAGCCCCAGATGGAGGGAGATTATCAGTGGTCTTGTATGTCTTCCATTTTCTAATTATTGCTCCCACAGTTGATTTGTTCACACCAAGCTGCTTGCCTATTGCAGATTCAGTCTTCCCAGCCTGGTGCAGGTCTACAATTTTGTTTCTGGTGTCCTTCGACAGCTCTTTGGTCTTCCCCATAGTGGAGTTTGGAGTGTGACTGTTTGAGGTTGTGGACAGGTGTCTTTTATACTGATAACAAGTTCAAACAGGTGCCATTGATACAGGTAATGAGTGCAGGAGGAGGAGCCTCTTAAAGAAGAAGGTCCAGGTCTGTGAGAGCCAGAAATCTTGTTGTTTGTAGGTGACCAAATACTTATTTTCCACCATAATTTGCAGATAAATTCTTCCAGATCAGCCAATGAGATTGTCTGGATTTGTTTCCTCATTTTGTCTCTCATAGTTGAGGTCTCCCTATGATGCCAATTACAGGCCTCTCTCATCTCTGTAAGTGGGAGAACTTGTACCATTGGTGGGGACTAAATACTTTTTTGCCCCACTGTATGGGGTACGGGGGGGGTGTTGGGGTGCAGTTGGTGATCGGGGGAGGGGTCAGCTACAGCCCCCTTTTTTTTTTTTTTAAAAAGTTCTGCAGATATTAGATCCCCCAAAACTGACGGCGGGCTGTACATCGTCCCGGGTGCCATTCTCAGTATCTGTCCTTATTCTGTACATGAAGGAAATGTGTATTTGCCCCCCCTGATGGTGAATGTTCGCCCCTCACACAGAAACGATCGGTCTAAACAATGGAATGTTCGCCCCTCACACAGAAATGATCGGTCTAACAATGGAATGTTCGCCCCTCACATAGAAATGATCGGTTAACAATGGAATGTTCGCCCCTCACACAGAAATGATCGGTCTAACAATGGAATGTTCGCCCTCACACAGAAATGATCGGTCTAACAATGGAATGTTCCCCCCTCACACAGAAATGATCGGTCTAACAATGGAATGTTCGCCCCCCTCACACAGAAATGATCGGTCTAACAATGGAATGTTCGCCCCTCACACAGAAATGATCGGTCTAACAATGGAATGTTCCCCCTCACACAGAAAATGATCGGTCTAACAATGGAATGTTCGCCCCCTCACACAGAAATGATCGGTCTAACAATGGAATGTTCCCCCCCCTCACACAGAAATGATCGGTCTAACAATGGAATGTTCGCCCCTCACACACAAAATGATCGGTCTAACAATGGAATGTTCGCCCCTCACACAGAAATGATCGGTCTAACAATGGAATGTTCGCCCCTCACACAGAAAATGATCGGTCTAACAATGGAATGTTCGCCCCTCACACACTCTACACAGAATGATCGGTCTAACAATGGAATGTTCGCCCCTCACACAGAAATGATCGGTCTAACAATGGAATGTTCGCCCCTCACACACAGAAATGATCGGTCTAACAATGGAATGTTCGCCCCTCACACAGAAATGATCGGTCTAACAATGGAATGTTCGCCCCTCACACAGAAATGATCGGTCTAACAATGGAATGTTCGCCCCTCACACAGAAATGATCGGTCTAACAATGGAATGTTCGCCCCTCACACAGAAATGATCGGTCTAACAATGGAATGTTCGCCCCTCACACAGAAATGATCGGTCTAACAATGGAATGTTCCCCCCTCACACAGAAATGATCGGTCTAACAATGGAATGTTGGCCCCTCACACAGAAATGATCGGTCTAACAATGGAATGTTCGCCCCTCACACAGAAATGATCGGTCTAACAATGGAATGTTTGCCCCTCACACAAAAATGATCGGTCTAACAATGGAATGTTCGCCCCCTCACACAGAAATGATCGGTCTAACAATGGAATGTTCCCCCTCACACAGAAATGATCGGTCTAACAATGGAATGTTCGCCCCTCACACAGAAATGATCGGTCTAACAATGGAATGTTCGCCCCTCACACAGAAATGATCGGTCTAACAATGGAATGTTCGCCCCTCACACATGAAAATGATCGGGTGTCTAGAAATGATCGGTCTAACAATGGAATGTTCGCCCCCTCACACAGAAATGATCGGTCTAACAATGGAATGTTCGCCCCTCACACAGAAATGATCGGTCTAACAATGGAATGTTCGCCCCCTCACACAGAAATGATCGGTCTAACAATGGAATGTTCGCCCCTCACACAGAAATGATCGGTCTAACAATGGAATGTTCCCCCTCACACAGAAATGATCGGTCTAACAATGGAATGTGTTCGCCCCTCACACAGAAATGATCGGTCAACACAGAAACAGAAATGATCGGTCTAACAATGGAATGTTCGCCCCCTCACACAGAAATGATCAGTCTAACATGGAATGTTGTTCGCCCCTCACACAGAAATGATCGGTCTAACAATGGAATGTTCGCCCCTCACAGAGAAATGATCGGTCTAACAATGGAATGTTCGGTGTAACACTGAGAGACAGAATACAACAACAAATTCAGCAGAAATGCGTCTTACAAATGATGACGGATCTGCATGTTCATGAGGGAAAGAAGGATTTGATCCCCTTCACAACACATGACTTAGTACTTGGTGGTCAATCCCTTGTTGGCAATCACAGAGGTCAGACGTTTCCTGGAGTTGGCCCCCAGGTTCGCACACATCTCAGGAGGGATTTTGGCCCACTCCTCTTGGCAGATCCTCTCCAAGTCATTAAGGTTTTGGTGGCTGACGTTTGGCAACTCGAACTTTCAGCTCCTCCACAGATTTTCCATCGGATGAAGAAGTGTGGAGACTGGCTAGGCCACTCCAGGACCTTAATGTGCTTCTTCTTGAGCCGCTCCTTTGTTGCCTTGGCCGTGTGTTTTGGGTCATTGTCATGCTGGAACACCCATCCACCACCCATTTTTCAATGCCCTGGCTGAGGGAGAAGAAGGTTCTCACCCAAGATTTGAGGGTACATTGCCCCGTCCATCGTCCCTTTGATGCGTGCAGTTGTCCTGTCCCCTTAGCAGAAAAAACCCCCAAAGCAGAATGTTTCCACCCACCACGTGTTCACAGTTTGGATGGTGTTCTTGGGTTCATAGGCAGCATTCCTCCTCCTCCAAACACGGCAAGTTGAGTTGATGCCAAAGAGCTGGATTTTGGTCTCCCTCTGACCACAACACTTCCCACCAGTCCTCCTCGGCATCATTCAGATGTTCAGTGGCAGACTTCAGACGGGCCTGGACATGGGCTTTCTGAGCAGAGGGACCGTGCGCGGGCACTGCAGGATTTCAGTCCTTGTCGGCGTAGTGTGTTACCAATTGTTTTCTTGGTGACTGTGGTCCCAGCTGCCTGGAGATCATTGACAAGATCCTCACGTGTAGTTCTGGGATGATTCCTCACTGTTCTCATGATCATTGACACTCCACGAGGGGAGATCTTTCATGGTGCACCAGACCTAGGGAGACTGACACTTGTTTTGTGTTTCTTCCATTGTGAATGATTGCACCAACTGTTGTCACTTCTCACCAAGCTGCTTGGCCATAGTTTGGTAGCCCAGTCCAGCCTTGTGTAGGTCTACCATCTTGTCCCTGACAGCCTTGGACAGCTCTTTGGTCTTTGCCATGGTGGAGAGTTTGGAATCTGATGGTTTGATGGCTCCTGTGGACAGGTGTCTTTTATACAGGTAACACAATGAGATTAGCAGCACTCCCTTTAAGAGAGACTGCTTCTAATCTCAGCTTGTTACCTGTATGAGAGACACCTGGGAGCCAGAAATCCTGCTGAATGATAGGGGATCAAATCCTTCTTTCCCTCATGAACATGCAGATCCGTCATCATTTGTTAGACGCATTTCTGCTGAATTTGTTGTTGTATTCTGTCTCTCAGTGTTACACCGAACATTCCATTGTTAGACCGATCATTTCTGTGTGTGAGGGGCGAACATTCCATTGTTAGACCGATCATTTCTGTGTGAGGGGATGCGAACATTCCATTGTTAGACCGATCATTTCTGTGTGAGGGGCGAACGTTCCATTGTTAGACCGATCGTTTCTGTGTGAGGGGCGAACATTCCATTGTTAGACCGATCATTTCTGTGTGAGGGGCGAACATTCCATTGTTAGACCGATCATTTCTGTGTGAGGGGCGAACGTTCCATTGTTAGACCGATCATTTCTGTGTGAGGGGTGCGAACGTTCCATTGTTAGACCGATCATTTCTGTGTGAGGGGCGAACATTCACCATCGGGGGGGGGCAGATACACATTTTCCTGCACTGTATATGGACTCTGCACAGTCCCACTTCTGTCCTGGATGCTGTTTGTGTCTCTGCAGGGACTTCCCTCCCATCTTGTGGCAATATGGAGAACGAGGCATCAAATTCGGACCAGCAATCGGCAGACAACAAACGATCGTCAGACAGTCCAGGTAAAGTGATCATGACTGAGGGTGGAAGTATAGCAGGGATCAGTGTACCCCGGATGTAGATCATGGGGTGTCTCTGGGGATCGGTGTACCCCGGATGTAGATCATGGGGTGTCTCTGGGGATCAGTGTACCCCGGATGTAGATCATGGGGTGTCTCTGGGGATCGGTGTACCCCCGGATGTAGATCATGGGGTGTCTCTGGGGATCGGTGTACCCCGGATGTAAATCATGGGTGTCTCTGGGGATCGGTGTACCCCGGATGTAGATCATGGGGTGCCTCTGGGGATCGGTGTACCCCGGATGTAGATCATGGGAGTGTCTCTGGGGATCGGTGTACCCCTGGATTGTAAATCATGGGGTGTCTCTGGGGATCGGTGTACCCCGGATCATGGGGTGTCTCTCTGGGATCGGTGTACCCCGGATGTAGATCATGGAGTGTCTCTGGGGATCGGTGTACCCCGGATGTAGATCATGGAGTGTCTCTGGGGATCGGTGTACCCCGGATGTAGATCATGGAGTGTCTCTGGGGATCGGTGTACCCCGGATGTAGATCATGGAGTGTCTCTGGGGATCGGTACCCCTGGATTGTAAATCATGGGGTGTCTCTGGGGATCGGTGTACCCCGGATGTAGGTCATGGAGTGTCTCTGGGGATCGGTGTACCCCGGATGTAGGTCATGGAGTGTCTCTGGGGATCGGTGTACCCCGGATGTAGATCATGGGGTGTCTCTGGGGATCGGTGTACCCCAGGATTGTAGATCATGGAGTGTCTCTGGGGATCGGTGTACCCCGGATGTAGATCATGGGGTGTCTCTGGGGATCGGTGTGTACCCCTGGATTGTAAATCATGGGGTGTCTCTGGGGATCGGTGTACCCCGGATGTAGATCATGGGGTGTCTCTGGGGATCCGTGTACCCTGGATTGTAGATCATGGAGTGTCTCTGGGGATCGGTGTACCCTGGATTGTAGATCATGGGGTGTCTCTGGGGATCGGTGTACCCTGGATTGTAGATCATGGGGTGTCTCTGGGGATCGGTGTACCCCGGATGTAGATCATGGGTGTCTCTGGGGATCGGTGTACCCCGGATGTAGGTCATGGGGTGTCTCTGGGGATCGGTGTACCCCGGATGTAGATCATGGGGTGTCTCTGGGGATTGGTGTACCCCGGATGTAGGTCATGGAGTGTCTCTGGGGATCGGTGTACCCCGGATGTAGGTCATGGGGTGTCTCTGGGGATCGGTGTACCCCGGATGTAGGTCATGGGGTGTCTCTGGGGATCGGTGTACCCCGGATGTAGATCATGGGGTGTCTCTGGGGATCGGTGTACTCCAGATTGTAGATCATGGAGTGTCTCTGGGGATCGGTGTACCCCAGATTGTAGATCATGGAGTGTCTCTGGGGATCGGTGTACCCCGGATGTAGATCATGGGGTGTCTCTGGGGATCGGTGTACCCCCGGATGTAGATCATGGGGTGTCTCTGGGGATCGGTGTACCCCGGATGTAAATCATGGGGTGTCTCTGGGGATCGGTGTACCCCGGATGTAAATCATGGGGTGTCTCTGGGGATCGGTGTACCCCGGATGTAGATCATGGGGTGTCTCTGGGGATCGGTGTACCCCGGATGTAGATCATGGAGTGTCTCTGGGGATCGGTGTACCCCGGATGTAGATCATGGAGTGTCTCTGGGGATCGGTGTACCCCGGATGTAGATCATGGAGTGTCTCTGGGGATCGGTGTACCCCTGGATTGTAAATCATGGGGTGTCTCTGGGGATCGGTGTACCCCGGATGTAGGTCATGGAGTGTCTCTGGGGATCGGTGTACCCCGGATGTAGGTCATGGAGTGTCTCTGGGGATCGGTGTACCCCGGATGTAGATCATGGAGTGTCTCTGGGGATCGGTGTACCCCGGATGTAGATCATGGGGTGTCTCTGGGGATCGGTGTACCCTGGATGTAGATCATGGGGTGTCTCTGGGGATCGGTGTACCCCGGATGTAGATCATGGGGTGTCTCTGGGGATCGGTGTACCCCAGATTGTAGATCATGGAGTGTCTCTGGGGATCGGTGTACCCCGGATGTAGATCATGGGGTGTCTCTGGGGATCGGTGTACCCCTGGATTGTAAATCATGGGGGTGTCTCTGGGGATCGGTGTACCCCGGATGTAGATCATGGGGTGTCTCTGGGGATCGGTGTACCCTGGATTGTAGATCATGGGGTGTCTCTGGGGATCGGTGTACCCTGGATTGTAGATCATGGGGTGTCTCTGGGGATCGGTGTACCCTGGATTGTAGATCATGGGGTGTCTCTGGGGATCGGTGTACCCCGGATGTAGATCATGGGGTGTCTCTGGGGATCGGTGTACCCCGGATGTAGGTCATGGAGTGTCTCTGGGGATCGGTGTACCCCGGATGTAGATCATGGGGTGTCTCTGGGGATTGGTGTACCCCGGATGTAGGTCATGGAGTGTCTCTGGGGATCGGTGTACCCCGGATGTAGGTCATGGGGTGTCTCTGGGGATCGGTGTACCCCAGATTGTAGATCATGGAGTGTCTCTGGGGATCGGTGTACCCCGGATGTAGATCATGGGGTGTCTCTGGGGATCGGTGTACCCCTGGATTGTAAATCATGGGGTGTCTCTGGGGATCGGTGTACCCCGGATCATGGAGTGTCTCTGGGGATCGGTGTACCCCAGATTGTAGATCATGGAGTGTCTCTGGGGATCGGTGTACCCCGGATGTAGATCATGGGGTGTCTCTGGGGGGTCACTCCTCAGGCCGTCTCTCTCTCAGTTGCAGTCTGTACAGAACTGACTCTCATTGAGGGGCCAGTCAGCTCACAGGTCACATTGTAGTAGGGGACTTTTGTCTCCTGCTCATTCACAGTCCGGGGCTCCTCCTTGATTGGACGATGCTGATTGGCAGTTTCTGTGCCTGCTCTGGGTCTCCACCCTCTTCCTCTCGGCACTTTGTCTGGTCAGAAGAAGAGAGATCGGAAGTCCCAGGTTTGCGGGATTTTCTGGCACTGCTCACCAACTTCCTACAAGGTCCAGGAGACTGTAAGTAGAGTGTACACAGGGCAGGGCAGGGGGAGAAGGGGGCAGTCTGGTCGGACGCTCTCTGGGGTGTTGGGTGTCTCTGGTCGGACGCTCTCTGGGGTGTTGGGTGTCTCTGGTCGGGCGCTCTCTGGGGTGTTGGGCGTCTCTGGTCGGGCACTCTCTGGGGTGTTGGGTCTCTCTGGTCGGACGCTCTCTGGGGTGTTGGGTCTCTCTGGTCGGACGCTCTCTGGGGTGTTGGGTCTCTCTGGTCGGACGCTCTCTGGGGTGTTGGGTCTCTCTGGTCGGGCGCTCTCTGGGGTGTTGGGTGTCTCTGGTCGGACTCTTTCTGGGGTGTTGGATGTCTCTGGTCGGACTACTGCGCTCTCTGGGGTGTTGGGCGTCTCTGGTCGGGCGCTCTCTGGGGTGTTGGGTGTCTCTGGTCGGACTCCCTCTGGGGTGTGTTGGGCATCTCTGGTCGGACGCTCTCTGGGATGTTGGGTCTCTCTGGTCGGGCGCTCTCTGGGGTGTTGGGGGTCTCTGGTGGATGCTCTCTGGGGTGTTTGGCGTCTCTGGTTGGACGCTCTCTGGGGTGTTGGGGTCTCTAGTGGATGCTCTCTGGGGTGTTGGGTCTCTCTGGTCGGACGCTCTCTGGGGTGTTGGGTCTCTCTGGTCGGACGCTCTCTGGGGTGTTGGGTCTCTCTGGTCGGACGCTCTCTGGGGTGTTGGGTCTCTCTGGTCGGACGCTCTCTGGGGTGTTGGGTCTCTCTGGTCGGGCGCTCTCTGGGGTTTGGGCGTCTCTGGTCGGACTCTCTCTGGGGTGTTTTGGGCGTCTCTGGTCGGACTCTCTCTGGGGTGTTGGGCGTCTCTGGTCGGGACTCTCTCTGGGGTGTTGGGCGTCTCTGGTCGGACTCTCTCTGGGGTGTTGGGCGTCTCTGGTCGGACTCTCTCTGGGGTGTTGGGCGTCTCTGGTCGGACTCTCTCTGGGGTGTTGGGCGTCTCTGGTCGGACTCTCTCTGGGGTGTTGGGCGTCTCTGGTCGGACTCTCCATGGGGTGTTGGGCGTCTCTGGTCGGACGCTCTCTGGGGTGTTGGGCGTCTCTGGTCGGACGCTCTCTGGGGTGTTGGGCGGACTCTGGTCAGGGGCTCTCTGGGGTGTTGGGCGTCTCTGGTCAGGGGCTCTCTGGGGTGTTGGGTGTCTCTGGTCAGGGGCTCTCTGGGGTGTTGGGCGTCTCTGGTCAGGGGCTCTCTGGGGTGTTGGGCGTCTCTGGTCAGGGGCTCTCTGGGTGTTGGGCGTCTCTGGTCAGGGGCTCTCTGGGGTGTTGGGCGTCTCTGGTCAGGGCTCTCTGGGGTGTTGGGCGTCTCTGGTCAGGGGCTCTCTGGGGTGTTGGGCGTCTCTGGTCAGGGGCTCTCTGGGGTGTTGGGCGTCTCTGGTCAGGGGCTCTCTGGGGTGTTGGGCGTCTCTGGTCAGGGGCTCTCTGGGGTGTTGGGTGTCTCTGGTTGGACTCTCTCTGGGGTGTCTCTGGTCGGGCGCTCTCTGGGGTGTTGGGTGTCTCTGGTTGGACTCTCTCTGGGGGTGTCTCTGGTCAGGCGCTCTCTGGGGGGTGTTGGGTGTCTCTGGTTGGACTCTCTCTGGGGTGTCTCTGGTCAGGGGCTCTCTGGGGTGTTGGGTGTCTCTGGTTGGCCTCTCTCTGGGGTGTCTCTGGTCAGGGGCTCTCTGGGGTGTTGGGTGTCTCTGGTTGGCCTCTCTCTGGGGTGTCTCTGGTCAGGGGCTCTCTGGGGTGTTGGGTGTCTCTGGTTGGCCTCTCTCTGGGGTGTCTCTGGTCAGGGGCTCTCTGGGGTGTGTGGGTGTCTCTGGTCAGGGGCTCTCTGGGGTGTTTGAGTGTCTGGTTGGACTCTCTCTGGGGTGTCTCTGGTCAGGGGCTCTCTGGGGTGTTGAGCGTCTCTGGTCAGGGGCTCTCTGGGGTGTTGGGTGTCTCTGGTTGGCCTCTCTCTGGGGTGTCTCTGGTCAGGGGCTCTCTGGGGTGTTGGGTGTCTCTGGTTGGCCTCTCTCTGGGGTGTTGGGTGTCTCTGGTTGGACTCTCTCTGGGGTGTCTCTGGTCATGGGCTCTCTGGGGTGTTGAGTGTCTCTGGTTGGCCTCTCTCTGGGGTGTCTCTGGTCAGGGGCTCTCTGGGGTGTTGGGTGTCTCTGGTCAGGGGCTCTCTGGGGTGTTGGGTGTCTCTGGTTGGCCTCTCTCTGGGGTGTCTCTGGTCAGGGGCTCTCTGGGGTGTTGGGTGTCTCTGGTCAGGGGGCTCTCTGCTCTCTGGGGTGTTGGGTGTCTCTGGTCGGACGCTCTCTGGGGTGTTGGGTGTCTCTGGTCAGGGGCTCTCTGGGGTGTTCTGGGTGTCTCTGGTCGGACGCTCTCTGGGGTGTTGGGTGTCTCTGGTCGGACGCTCTCTGGGTGTTGGGCGTCTCTGGTCAGGGGCTCTCTGGGGTGTTGGGTGTCTCTGGTCAGGGGCTCTCTGGGGTGTTGGGTGTCTCTGGTCAGGGGCTCTCTGGGGTGTTGGGTGTCTCTGGTCAGGGGCTCTCTGGGGTGTTGGGTGTCTCTGGTCAGGGGCTCTCTGGGGTGTTGAGTGTCTCTGGTTGGCCTCTCTCTGGGGTGTGTCTCTCTGGTCAGGGGCTCTCTGGGGTGTTGAGTGTCTCTGGTTGGCCTCTCTCTGGGGTGTCTCTGGTCAGGGGCTCTCTGGGGTGTTGGGTGTCTCTGGTCAGGGGCTCTCTGGGGTGTTGGGTGTCTCTGGTCAGGGGCTCTCTGGGGTGTTGGGTGTCTCTGGTCAGGCGCTCTCTCTGCTCTCAGGCTGTGGCTGGTCAGTTGGGGATGATGGAAGAGCTGTCATGGAGGGGGAGGGGAGGCCGGTGATGGATGAGGACCGGAGATGGTGACAACGGAGGAGAGCAGAGCTCCCATTCTTCTACTCCAGTCACAGAGTTCACCCCTCCTGACCTCTGACCTCAGAACCCAACGGATTGCAATCTTCCCTGTCATCACATTCCTCCTTCTTCCAGAAAGCTGTAGTTTGGGGTAACCCTTAGCAACCAGCAGGGCGGAGCTTTTCCTAGGTCTGCCCACCCCAGCCTGTGTACACCTACCTGAGTGTCGGGTGAGTCGGGTCACCAGGTGAGATTTCTTTGTACATCAGGACGGCATTTCGGCTTTAGTCTGTATTTGTGAGAATATCTGTGCTGCACAGATGAGACGTCATGTGGTTGGGACAGGCAACACCGGAACCTCGAGGAAACCGAGTGGACTGTGATCGAGCATGTCAGGAGTACAAGTGGGAGGATCGTGTCTGGCTTTAGGGGTGACGTAGCCGTGTCTGGCTTTAGGGGTGACGTAGCCGTGTCTGGCTTTAGGGGTGACGTAGCCGTGTCTGGCTTTAGGGGTGACGTAGCCGTGTCTGGCTTTAGGGGTGACGTAGCCGTGTCTGGCTTTAGGGGTGACGTAGCCGGTGTCTGGCTTTAGGGGCGACGGAGCCGGTGTCTGGCTTTAGGGGCGACGGAGCCGGTGTCTGGCTTTAGGGGCGACGGAGCCGGTGTCTGGCTTTAGGGGCTACGGAGCCGTGTCTGGCTTTAGGGGTGATGGAGCCGTGTCTGGCTTTAGGGAGACGTAGCCGTGTCTGGCTTTAGGGGAGACGTAGCCGTGTCTGGCTTTAGGGGAGACGGAGCCGGTGTCTGGCTTTAGGGGCGACGGAGCCGGTGTCTGGCTTTAGGGGCGACGGAGCCGGTGTCTGGCTTTAGGGGCGACGGAGCCGGTGTCTGGCTTTAGGGGCGACGGAGCCGGTGTCTGGCTTTAGGGGCGACGGAGCCGGTGTCTGGCTTTAGGGGCGACGGAGCCGGTGTCTGGCATTAGGGGCGACGGAGCCGGTGTCTGGCATTAGGGGCGACGGAGCCGGTGTCTGGCATTAGGGGCGACGGAGCCGGTGTCTGGCATTAGGGGCGACGGAGCCGTGTCTGGCTTTAGGGGCGACGGAGCCGGTGTCTGGCTTTAGGGGCTACGGAGCCGGTGTCTGGCTTTAGGGGTGACGGAGCCGGCGTCTGGGTTTAGGGGCGCTTTAGGGGGCGGAGATGACCCCATTGCTCATTTGTCATTACAGGTGATTCAGCAAGCTCTGAGCCGTCAGCCCAACACAGCAGCGCAGTACCTGCAGCAGATGTATGCCGCACAGCAGCAGCACCTTATGCTGCAGACAGCAGCTCTGCAACAGCATCAGCAGCACCTGAACAGCGCTCAGCTCCAGAGCCTGGCAGCAGCACAGCAGGTTAGTGTTCACAAATGGAGGCGGGGCATAATGACTGAGTGTATTAGGGGGGGGGGGTGTACGGTAGTGAACACTGAGCCATCTGGAGGCGGGGTATGATGCGAGCGTTCATCCATGGAGGAGGGGCTGCAGAGTCTGGAGGCGGGGTATGATGTGTGTTCATGGAGGAGGGGGGCAGGGTCTGGAGGCGGGGTATGATGCGAGCGTTCATCCCATGGAGGAGGGGCTGCAGGGTCTGGAGGCGGGGTATGATGCGAGCGTTCATCCATGGAGGAGGGGCTGCAGAGTCTGGAGGCGGGGTATGATGTGTGTTCATGGAGGAGGGGCTGCAGAGTCTGGAGGCGGGGTATGATGCGAGCGTTCATCCATGGAGGAGGGGCTGCAGGGTCTGGAGGCGGGGTATGATGCGAGCGTTCATCCATGGAGGAGGGGCTGCAGAGTCTGGAGGCGGGGTATGATGTGTGTTCATGGAGGAGGGGCTGCAGAGTCTGGAGGCGGGGTATGATGCGAGCGTTCATCCATGGAGGGGCTGCAGAGTCTGGAGGCGGGGTATGATGTGAGTGTTCATCCATGGAGGAGGGGCTGCAGAGTCTGGAGGCGGGGTATGATGTGAGTGTTCATCCATGGAGGAGGGGCTGCAGAGTCTGGAGGCGGGGTATGATGTGAGTATTCATCCATGGAGGAGGGGCTGCAGAGGCTGGAGGCGGGGTATGATGTGAGTATTCATCCATGTGCAGAGTCTGGAGGCGGGGTATGATGTGTGTTCATGGAGGAGGGGCTGCAGAGTCTGGAGGCGGGTATGATGCGAGCGTTCATCCATGGAGGAGGGGCTGCAGAGTCTGGAGGCGGGGTATGATGTGAGTGTTCATCCATGGAGGAGGGGCTGCAGAGTCTGGAGGCGGGGTATGATGTGAGTATTCATCCATGTGCAGAGTCTGGAGGCGGGGTATGATGTGTGTTCATGGAGGAGGGGCTGCAGAGTCTGGAGGCGGGGTATGATGTGAGTGTTTTCATCCATGGAGGAGGGGCTGCAGTCTGGAGGCGGGGTATGATGTGAGTGTTCATCCATGGAGGAGGGGCTGCAGAGTCTGGAGGCGGGGTATGATGTGAGTGTTCATCCATGGAGGAGGGGCTGCAGAGTCTGGAGGCGGGGTATGATGTGAGTGTTCATCCATGGAGGAGGGGCTGCAGTCTGGAGGCGGGGTATGATGTGAGTGTTCATCCATGGAGGAGGGGCTGCAGAGTCTGGAGGCGGGTATGATGTGAGTGTTCATCCATGGAGGAGGGGCTGCAGAGTCTGGAGGCGGGGTATGATGTGAGTGTTCATCCATGGAGGAGGGGCTGCAGAGTCTGGAGGCAGGGTATGATGTGAGTGTTCATCCATGGAGGAGGGGCTGCAGAGTCTGGAGGCGGGGTATGATGTGAGTATTCATCCATGGCGGAGGGGCTGCACCTGGAGGCGGAGCCTGTCATTTAAGGGGGTGGGGTTTGAACAGGCATGGGAGGTCTACACCTGAGCAAACCCCCAGTGCAGTGACCGGCCTCAGCTGACAAACAGAGAGGAAATCCATCCTCCTACAGAAGTTGTACCTTTTTATCTGTAGGATTCTATCTTCTACAGCCATTCGGAGTGCAGAATTTATACAACTTGCCTGAGCTTTCAGAAAACGGGGCGGGGAGTTGATATTACACTCTGCAGAGCTCAGTGAGAGCTGATTGGAGGGAAGAGATAACCCCTCCCCCCTTTCACACAGGAACAGAGCTGAGGCTGTCAATCACAGGCTGTGTGCTGAAGCTCCCTCCCCCTGTCACCATTTATCTCTTGGTGTCATGAAAACTCATCAGAAGTGACTGATGGCAGCAGGCAGCGGTGACACCCCGTGCTCTGGACTGACACCAGGACACACTATGGAGGGATGTGCTTTGTTCACATTTCATGTCTGAGGATTACAGGTGAGCCGAGATGTAGTGAGTGGTTCAACCTACAGAGGAGCCAGGGGCCCAGAGGATGTGTGGGGGGCCCAGGTACAACCCTCTTACCTGCCCTGGGGTGAGTGTAATTGGCTGTCAGTTACTCAGGGGAGGAGCCATGGCATTACAGACAATGCAAACAGGGTGGGGCTTCTTTGCAGATCAGTGTCAATCATAGTGATGGGGGAAGGGCAAAGCTACTACCTTGTTTAGGGCCCCATCTCTGGTGCAGGACCTGGACATTGATGGCTCACAGGGGGTTCAGTAATGGGGGAGGGGAGAAGGGGTGTGGCACCTAACCAGCAGCAGTGCAGACAGTAAGTAGGGGGGTGGGGCAGAGTATGAAGGGAGTGTCTCTGTGGGGGTGGGGCAGAGTATGAAGGGAGTGTCTCTGTGGGGGTGGGGCAGAGTATGAAGGGAGTGTCTCTGTGGGGGTGGGGCAGGGTATGAAGGGAGTGTCTCTGTGTGGGGGTGGGGCAGCACATTGGGGGCGTGTCTCTGTGTATTACACTCCCAGTATCCTTCTATTCTCAGGCCGGATTGGCGGGCAGCAGAGCGACCCCTACAGGGACCCAGCAGAGTCCGTCCCAGGTGACAACGGTGAGTCTGTGACTCCTCCCCCCTAACAAGCACCTCCCCCCTAACAAGCCTAACCTGTGCTGCCAGATTTCCTTATCAGTGTCCCTCTGTAATCCCCACAACACACGGAACCCCCCCCCCCCCCCCCGGACCGCACACGGATGACGCTGTATAGTCTGTGTGTAGTGATGTCTGGGCTCTGCAAGTGATGGAGGGGGCGGGGCGGTCTGCTTGTGGGGATGGATGGATGGATGGAGGGGAGCATGCTGGGCATTCTATAGACTGATGCCAATCACCGGCCTGTGTCCAATATGGGAGATGCCGGCTATGGCCACCAGATGTCACTGCAGCTCCCACAATGATACACACCCCTCCCCCGGACTGTATACAATGTTTATATATACCCCTCCCCCGGACTGTATACAATGTTTATATATACCCCTCCCCCGGACTGTATACAATGTTTATATATACCCCTCCCCCGGACTGTATACAATGTTTATATATACCCCCCTCCCCCGGACTGTATACAATGTTTATATATACCCCTCCCCCGGGACTGTATACAATGTTTATATATACCCCCTCCCCCGGACTGTATACAATGTTTATATACACGGCTCCACCAATGACAGGAAAGACTCTGAGAACCCATCAGACCTCACTGGGGAGGAATCTCCTGCTGGATCTCTATACTGACATGGACGGGGGATGGGTGATGGGGGGGGGGGGGGGGGACGCCCCATCGTTGGATGGAAATGATCGACCTACAGAGGACTGAATTCACAGACACCCCGAAAATCAAAGTGAAGAAATGATGGAGCAGGCGAGTCCATGTTGGTGAAATGTCATTGCTCCTGGACAGTCTGAGGTGCAACCAGGTGGCGTCGGATGGCCCAAAACATGACATCCCAGAGGGGTTCTATTTGGTTTAGGTCAGGAGAGTGTGGGGGCCATTCAGTGGTATCAATCCTTCATCCTCCAGGAACTGTCTGCATACCCCCCCCCCCCCCCCCATGAGGCCGGGGCATTGTATGCACCAGGAGGAACCCGGGACCCACTGCTCCAGGAGGAACCCGGGACCCACCGCACCGGGAGGAACCCAGGACCCCCTGCACCAGCATAGGGTCTGACAATGGGTCCAAGGATTTCATCCCCATACCTCATGGCAGTCAGGGTGCCATTGTCTATCCTGTAGAGGTCTGTGTGTCCCTCCATGGAGATGCCCCCCCAGACCATCACTGACCCACCACCACAACGGTCATACTGAACCATGTTACAGGCAGCAGAACGTTCTCCACGGCTTCTCCAGACCCTTCACGTCTGTCACATGTGCTCAGGGGGAACCTGCTCTCATCTGTGAAAAGCACAGGGTGCCAGTGGTGGACCTGCCAATTCTGGGGTTCAATGGCCAATGCCAATCCAGCTCTATGGTGCCGGGCAGCGAGCACAGGGCCCACTAGAGGACATCGGGCCCTCAGGCCACCCTCATGAAGTCTGTTTCTGATTGGGTCAGAGACATTCACACCAGTGGCCTGCTGGAGGTCATTTTGTAGGGCTCTGGCAGGGCTCCTCCTGTTCCTCCTCCTACAAAGGAGCAGATCCCGGTCCTGCTGATGGTTAAGGACCTTCTACAGCCCTGTCCAGCCCTCCTAGAGGAACTGCCTGTCTCCTGGAATCTCCTCCGTGCTCTCGTCTCCCGGAATCTCCTCCATGCTCTCGTCTCCCGGAATCTCCTCCGTGCTCTCGTCTCCCGGAATCTCCTCCGCGCTCTCGTCTCCCGGAACCTCCTCCGCGCTCTCGTCTCCCGGAACCTCCCCCCGCGCTCTCGTCTCCCGGAACCTCCCCCGCGCTCTCGTCTCCCGGAACCTCCCCCGCGCTCTCGTCTCCCGAACCTCCCCCGCGCTCTCGTCTCCCGGAACCTCCCCCCGCTCTCGTCTCCCGGAACCTCCCCCGCGCTCTCGTCTCCCGGAACCTCCCCCGCGCTCTCGTCTCCCGGAACCTCCTCCATGCTCTTGAGACTGTGTTGGGAGACACAGCAAACCTTCTGGCAATGGCAGGTATTGATGGGCCATCCTGGAGGAGTTGGACTGCCTGTGTGACCTCTGTAGGGTCCAGGTATGGCCTCCATGCTACCAGTAGTGACGTCTGATATATACTGTAGGAGGGTCCATGCTACAGTGTCGGGGGGCCCCCTCCTGTATACGTCTGATATATACTGTAGGAGGGTCCATGCTCAGTGTCGGGGGGCCCCCTCCTGTATACGTCTGATTTATACTGTAGGAGGGTCCATGCTCAGTATCGGGGTGTCGGGGAGCCCCCTCCTGTATACATGTCTGATATATACTGTAGGAGGGTCCATGCTCAGTGTCGGGGGGGCCCCCTCCTGTATACGTCTGATATATACTGTAGGAGGGTCCATGCTCAGTGTCGGGGGGGGCCCCCTCCTGTATATGACTGATTTATACTGTAGGAGGGTCCATGCTCAGTATCGGGGGGCCCCCAAACCTTCTGTATACATGTCTGATATATACTGTAGGAGGGTCCATGCTCAGTATCGGGGGGCCCCCTCCTGTATACGTCTGATATATACTGTAGGAGGGTCCATGCTCAGTATCGGGGTGTCGGGGGGGCCCCCTCCTGTATACGTCTGATATATACTGTAGGAGGGTCCATGCTCAGTGTCGGGGGGCCCCCTCCTGTATACGTCTGATATATACTGTAGGAGGGTCCATGCTCCGTATCGGGGTGTCGGGGAGCCCCCTCCTGTATACATGTCTGATATATACTGTAGGAGGGTCCATGTTCAGTGTCGGGGGGCCCCCTCCTGTATATGTCTGATATTTACTGTAGGAGGGTCCATGCTCAGTATCGGGGGGGCCCCCTCCTGTATACATCTGATATATACTGTAGGAGGGTCCATGCTCAGTATCGGGGTGTCGGGGGGCCCCCTCCTGTATACATCTGATATATACTGTAGGAGGGTCCATGCTCAGTATCGGGGGGGGACCCCTTCTGTATACATGTCTGATATATACTGTAGGAGGGTCCATGCTCAGTATTGGGGTGTCGGGGGGCCCTCTTGTATACATGTCTGATATATACTGTAGGAGGGTCCATGTTCAGTGTCGGGGGGGGCCCCTCCTGTATACATGTCTGACTGATGTCTCCTCTACAGATGAACCTGACCAGCTCCCCCCAGATCATCCAGCGCCCCCAGACTGTCAGCTCCACCCCGGCTCCGGCATCTGGAATTCCCAGCAGGCGGTTCTGTTAGGAAATGCCTCTTCCCCAGCACTGAGTGCCAGCCAGGCACAGATGTACCTTCGGGCTCAGATGGTAGGTGGCCGTGTAGCTCTGCGCTGAGTCTTCCTTCTGGTAGAATAGAAGGAATGTCAGACTCCGGGGGGGAGGGGCAGTACCACCGGGACACACCCAGGAGGTACCTGTGAGGACAGCGCACACTTGGTCCAGAGAGTGAATTCTTGCCTCAGTAGGACCCCCTGTGGTGAGTGATGGTACATAGGGCCCCATTGTATAATATCCTGACTCTTCTCTGCCTCCCTCCAGCTGATATTCACTCCTGCAGCCACGGTCAGCAGCATCCAATCCGATGTCAGCTCTGCATCAAGCTCCTCCCAGCCTGTCAGCACTCAGGTGAGTTAGGTGGGAGAAGAACCATCTGAGAGGAGGGTGTGGTGCTCCTCGAAGTGTGCGCTCAGTCTGGACGTCTCCACCATGTTGCTCTCTCATCATGTGACGTCACGGTGCAGATGTTACTGTCTGTGTTGCAGGTCCAGAATCTCACTGTGCGAGGAACAGTTGGTGAGACGACGCAGCTACCTACCTTGGCTATGAAGCCCGCTGCCCTGAGCCTCCATCATGTCACCAAACCTGCCGGCTATGTAGGTAGCCATATGGCAGAGAGCCACAAGAAAGGGGAGCCACCGGGCACAGACAGCCAGACTCCAACCGGCCGGACCACACATGCCATCATTGCTCCAGGTGAGGCTCCGGGGGTGGGGTCCTCCTCTCTACACTCCATCATTGCCCCGGCGGTGGGGTCCTCCTCCCTACACTCCATCATTGCATCGGGGGTGGGGTCCTCCTCCCTACACACCATCATTGCCCCGGGGGTGGGGTCCTCCTCCCTACACACCATCATTGCCCCGGGGGTGGGGTCCTCCTCCCTACACACCATCATTGTCCCGGGGGTGGGGTCCTCCTCCCTACACACCATCATTGCCCCGGGGGTGGGGTCCTCCTCCCTACACTCCATCATTGCATCGGGGGTGGGGTCCTCCTCCCTACACACCATCATTGCCCCGGGGTGGGGTCCTCCTCCCTACACACCATCATTGCCCCGGGCGTGGGGTCTTCCTCTCACTGGTAGTGATCCCACGTCTACAGCTGTGCTATTGGCTGAGTATTCCAGTCTTTCAGTGGTCACCATTTTCTGGGCTCTCTGAGGCTCGGGGTCACGCTGTTCATGTCAGGATCGATCTTTCACTATAGAATTTGCACTCGCCAAAAATCCCCTTCATGGAGTCCATTGAAGGACACAGGAAGTCTTTCACCTTTTTGGGTACGACTGCTGCCTACAGGAGGACTGCATGCTGGCCAACAAACCTCTGTAGACAAGCTGTCAGGAGCCGACTGGCGGTAGCCTCTAGCGACCCACAGGCCGGAATTCCTCAGGGCGCGGAGTCTAAGCCTCAGTCTGCTGGTTCACCAGAGCCCCTGATGGTGGGGATGGACTTGAAGCAGCCTGAGACCAGGTCGCGACCCCCGAGTACAACCAGCTGTGGTAGAGGCAGCCGCCAATGGCGGGTGGCAGGTGAGAGCCAGATGTGAAGAGGATATTAATGTAGTCAGACAGGCCGGGTTGGTAACAGCGGAGCAGACAGTACAGAGCGGCAGGCAAAAGAATAAACAGGTCCCGGGCCGGGTTCAGTAACAGGAGGTAAGACCAGCAGGATCAGGCAGAGAATAGTCAGGACGAGCCAAAGGTCAGAGCAGGAGAGGACAACAGGATCAGGCAGAGAATAGTCAGGACGAGCCAAAAGGTCAGAGCAGGAGAGGACAACAGGATCAGTCAGAGAATAGTCAGGACGAGCCAAAAGGTCAGAGCAGGAGAGGACAACAGGATCAGGCAGAGAATAGTCAGGACGAGCCAAGGGTCAGAGCAGGAGAGGACAACAGGATCAGTCAGAGAATAGTCAGGACGAGCCAAACGGTCAGAGCAGGAGAGGACAACAGGATCAGGCAGAGAATAGTCAGGACGAGCCAAAAGGTCAGAGCAGGAGAGGACAACAGGACCAGGCAGAGAATAGTCAGGACAAGCCAAGGTCAGAGCAGGAGAGGACAACAGGATCAGGCAGAGAATAGTCAGGACGAGCCAAGGGTCAGAGCAGGAGAGGACAACAGGATCAGGCAGAGAATAGTCAGGACGAGCCAAGGGTCAGAGCAGGAGAGGACAACAGGATCAGTCAGAGAATAGTCAGGACGAGCCAAAAGGTCAGAGCAGGAGAGGACAACAGGATCAGGCAGAGAATAGTCAGGACGAGCCAAAAGGTCAGAGCAGGAGAGGACAACCGGATCAGGCAGAGAATAGTCAGGACGAGCCAAGGGTCAGAGCAGGAGAGGACAACAGGATCAGGCAGAGAATAGTCAGGACGAGCCAAAGGTCAGAGCAGGAGAGGACAACAGGATCAGGCAGAGAATAGTCAGGACGAGCCAAAAGGTCAGAGCAGGAGAGGACAACAGGATCAGGCAGAGAATAGTCAGGACGAGCCAAAAGGTCAGAGCAGGAGAGGACAACAGGACCAGGCAGAGAATAGTCAGGACGAGCCAAGGGTCAGAGCAGGAGAGGACAACAGGATCAGTCAGTCAGGACGAGCCAAACGGTCAGAGCAGGAGAGGACAACAGGATCAGGCAGAGAATAGTCAGGACGAGCCAAAAGGTCAGAGCAGGAGAGGACAACAGGATCAGGCAGAGAATAGTCAGGACGAGCCAAGGGTCAGAGCAGGAGAGGACAACAGGATCAGTCAGAGAATAGTCAGGACGAGCCAAAAGGTCAGAGCAGGAGAGGACAACAGGACCAGGCTGGGTCGGCAACAAAGCAATCAAATATACAGGAGCAATCAGGAACAAGACCATACGGCAATTTGGAGATGCACAGGGCTGGTTTACATAGTGCGCCCTGTGCTCTCATTGGTGCCAGGAGCGCGATCGTGAGTGCGCATGCGCAGCCGCCGCCGCCGCGATTGCCCTAAGCCCGAGTGCTCGCCGGCTAATGTGCATCGGCATTCTGCGCATGTGCATACCCGTGTGATGCCGAGATCCCTGACACAAGCCCAGGAAAACCCCGTCTACTCCCAGCATGCCTCTGGTTTGTAGCAAGCTGTACACAGAGCATCTTCATAAACGGGGGGGGTCTGTGTACCTCAATGGTCTCCATAGCAATAAACACCAACCCATCGAAGACCACAAAAGAACCGAGAACTGCCTCAAAATCCACCTTTAGGCTGCGGCACCACCTGGCAGAACTTGGTGAACGTGTGAAGAGAAGACCAAGTGGCAGCCATGCCAACCGGAGAAACAAGAGACCCGATGCTGCAAGGCCCAGGAAGCAGATCAAGTAGAGCGTGCCATGAGAGAATAGAGTGTAACCCTGTCCCTAGCTTCTGTCATGGTCTGTCCGAGGAACCCAGAGGTAGAACAAGAAGCTGGTGCACCTTCATGACAACCATCTGGGATGACAAAAGAGGAAAAGCCTCTCACAGCCCACACCACATCCAGACAATGGAGGGAAATTTCTGTATCGTGAAGTAGAACCAAACATGGAGAGGGAAGAATGATGTCCTGGTTTAGGTGAAAAGCAAAAACCACCTTAGACAGGAAGGACCCCTGGACCTCATCACCGCCTTGTTCTTATGCGGAAACATCCAAATGTTGGTCCAGACCCAGCTGTAGGAAGGAGCTTTCCTAACATCACAGGAATCGTTGGTCCAGAGTTCCTCATTTCTCATCATTATCCATACCATTAAAGCCAGCAATCGGATGGTAAATCGATCCTTCAGATAGTCTGGATAACATGGTAGAGCCCATGCAGCAACCACCTGGAGTCTTACCAGGATTTACCACATCCTCCTGGACCAATCCATAGAAATGAGAATAATCTGAATTCCCTTCATCTCATTCCAGACGAAGAAGAAGCATTGGGAAGGCTAGGAATACAGCAAAGAGCGCTGAGCACACAACAGCTGCTGCCTCGAAGAGGATCCCTGGACCTGGAGACAAACCTGTCAAGATTGTCCTTCTACTTAAAGGCCAGGAGGTCCACATCCAGCATCCCACACCTGTGGCACTGGTCTGAAAAACACCTCCGGGTGTAGGGACCTCTCCCCAGATCCAGATGTTTCTGGCTGAGGAAGGCTGCCTGTCAATTGTCTCTGCCTACATGGTGGACAAGAATGGAATGTGAAGTTCTGCCCAGGACAGGATTTCATCTACCTCTTCTGGTTCTTCTGTGATGGTTGATGTATACCAATGCCATGGAGTTGTCCTGAATCCTGGATCACATGACCCTCCAGCAGGATAGTCCAAAGACAGCCAAACCGTCTGAAGATTCATGATTGATGTTGATAGAGGAGACTCCAATGACGGTCAAGTCCTCTGCACAAACAAACGATTTCCCAGCAACATTTACCAGCCAGCCTGCAAATCACCCAATGTGGCCATCTGACAGCGTTAAAAACGGAGGGATTTGTTTGCACACATTTGTAAATACATGCGCAAGCCACAGTCCCACGTCAAGGGCCCTCTGTGTACTGTGCACCTAACTCTAACATTTCCAAAGCCTCCATAGTAGGAGCACATATATCAATGGATAGGTTAGGGGCAGGTGTGCCTGGAGGAGCCCAACCCTCCATACAGGTACAGGGACACACGTGACGCCCAGCTATACAAAATTACAGCAAAGGCATCCAGTGAGTCCCTGCATCCAAATTGGGCAACGGCACAAAAATGGCGACCATCCAACCTATAACCAGCCTTGGCAGTAAGAATGCACAGAGAAGACCCTTGACGTGGGACTGTGGCTCATGCATGTATTTGCCACTGCCACTGCTTTTACCCAAACTGTCAGACGGCCACATTGGTTGTTTTGCAGGCTGGCTGGTAAGTGTTGCTGGGAAATCGTTTGTGATGTGCGTTTCCCTTCCATGTGCACCTTACTGCTAAGGCTGGTTATCGGTTGGGATGGTCGCCACTTTTATGTGCCCAGAACTCCTCCCCAATGCACCAGACTGTCATCTGTTGTGAGGAACTTCCCAATTCCAGAACTGGATGCCGGAGTCACTAAGGAAGGTTTGTCTGAGGGTTTGGTCCTTGAGTGGACTGGGAGCCAAGCTTGGGTGGTCTGGATGTGGACATACGGACAGGAGACCCAATGCAAGAGACAAGACAGGAAAGTTCCAGCTAAAAGCTACAACCATTTGCTCCAAAGGCTCTATGACTGAGGGATCAACCGCAGCAGTGGAAAATCTCTTTTTAAGGGACTTTGACCGATCAGCCTGGGTTTGGCAAAGCAGACAGGAATGGAATGAAGTTCCACTTGGCTGCAAAACAAGGAGCAGCAATGGAGACATGCATCCGTGGCTCACACATGTGACACTCCATACAGAAGATGCCAGTGCTCAGTCCCAGAGCATTAACCCCTTCTGAGGTGAAATCAGACAGGAAATGGGAACTTCAAACACCCAGCAACCCATGTCCTTGAGTTAGGTCCTGTTCTTGGCCCAACCATTCACTCAGTGATTCTTCAGGGACATGGCGAGCACCGATGCATTGCCAGCAGAACAGAGTCTGGAAAGTGCCCCATGTGAAGCTCAATGCCCAAAGGTCACTTCCAGGCTCTCCCCTCAATGTCCAGGCCAGTCTGAATGCAACACTGAAAAGGCCAGGCTTAGGATGGCCACCCCAGAGAGATTCACTCAAGAGACCAGCTCTAGCAACAACGTAGAGAACAGGTTTGAAATGTACACATCGGAGCTGAATCCTCCTGTAGGTGGCAGTATACCTCGAGAGCTTCCTGTGCTCCTCAATAGACTCAGCAGAGTAGATTTGTCTGTTCCCTCACCGAGACCCAATCCAGCCATATCTGTTATGTGGAGATTTCCTGCATGTCTCCATCATAGTGCCGCACTGACTGTGTCCATCCTCTTCTCTGTATGTCTCCATCATAGTGCCGCACTTACCGTGTCCATCATAGTGCCGCACTGACCGTGTCCATCCTCTTCTCTGTATGTCTCCATCATAGTGCCGCACTGACCGTGTCCATCATAGTGCCGCACTGACCGTGTCCATCCTCCTCTCTGTATGTCTCCATCATAGTGCCACACTGACCGTGTCCATCATAGTGCCGCACTGACCGTGTCCTTCCTCTTCTCTGCATGTCTCCATCATAGTGCCGCACTGACCGTGTCCATCATAGTGCGGCACTGACCGTGTCCATCCTCTTCTCTGCATGTCTGCATCATAGTGCCGCACTGACCGTGTCCATCCTCCTCTCTGTATGTCTCCATCATAGTGCCGCACTGACCGTGTCCATCATAGTGCCGCACTGACCGTGTCCATCCTCCTCTCTGTATGTCTCCATCATAGTGCCACACTGACCGTGTCCATCATAGTGCCGCACTGACCGTGTCCTTCCTCTTCTCTGCATGTCTCCATCATAGTGCCGCACTGACCGTGTCCATCATAGTGCCGCACTGACCGTGTCCATCCTCTTTCTCTGCATGTCTGCATCATAGTGCCGCACTGACCGTGTCCATCCTCCTCTCTGTATGTCTCCATCATAGTGCCGCACTGACCGTGTCCATCATAGTGCCGCACTGACCGTGTCCTTCCTCTTCTCTGTATGTCTCCATCATAGTGCCACGCTGACCGTGTCCATCATAGTGCCGCACTGACCGTGTCCTTCCTCTTCTCTGCATGTCTCCTTCATAGTGCCGCACTGACTGTGTCCATCCTAGTGCTGCACTGACCGTGTCCTTCCTCTTCTCTGCATGTCTCCATCATAGTGCCACACTGACCGTGTCCTTCCTCTTCTCTGTATGTCTCCTTCATAGTGCCGCACTGACTGTGTCCATCCTAGTGCAGCACTGACCGTGTCCTTCCTTTCTCTGCATGTCTCCATCATAGTGCCGCACTGACCGTGTCCATCCTCTTCTCTGAATGTCTCCATCATAGTGCCACACTGACCGCGTCCATCCTCTTCTCTGTATGTCTCCATAATAGTTCCAGAATGAGGTGACCCGTGTGTTTGGTGCCGGGATGGGGTGACCCGTGTGTTTGGTGCCGGGATGGGGTGACCCGTGTGTTTGTGGTCCGGGATGGGGTGACCCGTGTGTTTAGTGCCGGGATGAGTGACCCGTGTGTTTGGTGCCAAGATGGGGTCCCCCGTGTGTTTGGTGCCGGGATGGGGTGACCGGTGTTGGGGCCAGACCCGTGTGTTTGGTGCCGGGGGTCCCGCGTGGTTTGGTGACGGGATGGGGTCCCCTGTGTGTTGGTGCCGGGATGGGATGACCCGTGTGTTTGGTGCCGGGATGGGGTGACCCGTGTGTTTGGTGTCGGGATGAGTGACCCGTGTGTTTGGTGCCGGGATGGGGTCCCCCGTGTGTTTGGTGCCGGGATGGGGTCCCCCCGTGTGTTTGGTGCCGGGATGGGGTCCCCCATGTGTTTGGTGCCAGGATGGGGTCCCGCGTGTGTTTGGTGCCGGGATGGGGTCCCCTGTGTGTTTGGTGCCGGGATGGGGTCCCCTGTGTGTTTGGTGCCGGGATGGGATGACCCGTGTGTTTGGTGCCGGGATGGGGTGACCCGTGTGTTTGGTGTCGGGATGAGTGACCCGTGTGTTTGGTGCCGGGATGGGGTCCCCCGTGTGTTTGGTGCCGGGATGGGGTCCCCCGTGTGTTTGGTGCCGGGATGGGGTCCCCCGTGTGTTTGGTGCCGGGATGGGATGACCCGTGTGTTTGGTGCCGGGATGGGGTGACCCGTGTTGGGTGCCGGGATGGGATGACCCGTGTTTGGTGCCGGGATGGGGTGACCCGTGTGGTGCCGGGATGGGGTGACCCGTGTTTGGTGCCGGGATGGGGGTGACCTCACATGTATTCATGTTCTCTTCACAGCTTACTCTCCGCAGCTCGTCTCGGAACCAAAGCCGGTTCTGCACCAGATTGTGCTCCAGAAATCGCCTTCTCTGCAGCCTCGCCCGGTCCTGCCCCTCACACAGCCCCTCACCCACCAGCCTCAGGTGTCCCAGGGCCTCTCCTCTCCACCTATCACATCGCAGGCTCCGCTGGTACCGCCTTCCTCATATGTGGAATCCAACAAGCAGAAAGCCAACCCCATCCCCCCTTCAAGCTTCGGAGGACAAGATGGCGCCGTCCAGTGCAGGCTCCTCCCCCCCAGCTCAGCCGTCATCTTTCAGATCCCGAACACTCGGACAGCGGTGAGTCCAGGAGGGTGAGGGACACAATGACCCCGTCCTATGGAGGACACGCAGACCGTCGTGTGTACAGCACAGCTCAGACATGAAGGGGGTGTGTCCTCTGACAACCAATGATGTCCACAATCAGACCTCCAGAGTGGCATCATTCATTGGTGGGCACAGGACACATGGAAGAGGTGCCACGCCCCCACGGAGCACATGGATGGAGAGGACATAAAACACGGCTCCTCCTTCCATGGAATGGTGATCCTGCCAGTCTGCTCTGTGCTGCAGGACCTCCTCTCAGGCAAACCATTCATGCTGACCTGTGCTGGTGTAGTCACTTCCTCTCACTGGGATATCCTGGGGGAAGGGGGGACCTCTGAGAGGGCCCGGGGGGGCAGGGGGTATCCTCTGAGAGGGGGAAGGGGGGACCTCTGAGAGGGCCCAGAGGGAAGGGGGTGAACTCTGAGAGGGGGGAAGGGGGTGAACTCTGAGAGGGGGGAAGGGGGTGACCTCTAAGAGGGCCCAGAAGGAAGGGGGTGACCTCTGAGAGGGGGAAGGGGGTGACCTCTGAGAGGGCCCAGAGGGAAGTAGGTGACCTCTGAGAGGGGGAAGGGGGTGACCTCTGAGAGGGCCCGGTGGGGGGAGGGGGTATCCTCTGAGAGATGAAGGAGGTGACCTCTGAGAGGGCCCAGGGGGACGGGGGTGACCTCTGAGAGGGGCCAGAGGGAGAGGGGTAACCTCTGAGAAGGTCTGGGAAGGGAAGGGGGTGACCTCTGAGAGGGGGAAGGGGGTGACCTCTGAGAAGGTCTGGGGGGGAAGGGGGGTGACCTCTGAGAGGGCCCAGAGGGAAGGGGGTGACCTCTGAGAGGGGGAAGAGGGTGACCTCTGAGAGGGGGAAGGGGGTGACCTCTGAGAGGGCCTGGGGGGGGAGGGGGGGTATCCTCTGAGAGAGGGAAGGGGGGACCTCTGAGAGGGCCCGGGGGGGGAAGGGGGGTGACCTCTGAGAGGGGCAAGAGGGAAGGGGATGACCTCTGAGAGGGCCCGGGGGGAGGGGGTAACCTCTGAGAAGGGGCAGGGGGTATCCTCTGAGAGGGGGAAGGGGGTGACCTCTGAGAGGGCCCAGAGGGAAGGGGTGACCTCTGAGAAGGGGCAGAGGGGAAGGGGGTGACCTCTGAGAGGGGAAGGGGGTGACCTCTGAGAGGGCCCAGGGAAGGGGGTGACCTCTGAGAGGGGGAAGGGGGGTGACCTCTGAGAGGGCCCAGAGGGAAGGGGGTATCCCCTGAGAGGGGGAAGGGGGTGACCTCTGAGAGGGCCCAGAGGGAAGGGGGTGACCTCTGAGAGGGGCAAGAGGGAAGGGGGTGACCTCTGAGAGAGGGAAGGGGGTGACCTCTGAGAGAGGGAAGGGGGTGACCTCTGAGAGGGGGAAGGGGGTGACCTCTGAGAAGGTCTGAGGGGGGGGAAAGGGGTGACCTCTGAGAGAGGGAAGAGGGTGACCTCTGAGAGGGGGAAGGGGGTGACCTCTGAGAGGGCCTGGGGGGGGGGGGGGCAGGGGGTATCCTCTGAGAGGGGGAAGGGGGGTGACCTTTGAGAGGGGCCAGAGGGAAGGGGGTGACCTCTGAGAGGGCCTGGGGGGGGGGGGGGGCAGGGGGTATCCTCTGAGAGGGGGAAGGGGGTGACCTCTGAGAGAGAGAGGGGGGGTGACCTCTGAGAGGGGGAAGGGGGTATCCTCTGAGAGGGGACAGAGGGAAGGGGGTGACCTCTGAGAAGTTCCGGGGGGGGGGGGGGTGACCTCTGAGAGGGGGAAGGGGGTATCCTCTGAGAGGGGACAGAGGGAGGGGGTGACCTCTGAGAAGGCCGGGGGGGGTGACCTCTGAGAAGTTCCGGGGGGGGGTGACCTCTGAGAAGTTTCGGGGGGGGGTGACCTCTGAGAAGTTTCGGGGGGGGGGGTGACCTCTGAGAAGTTCCGGGGGGGGGGTGACCTCTGAGAAGTTCCGGGGGGGGGGGGGGCTGACCTCTGAGAGATGCTATAAAGTGTAATAGCTCCTCCTGGATGAACTCGGCTTCTTGCACCCCAAAGATTAAACATGAATAATGTACATCGGGTGCAGCACTAACAATAAATACACATAAAATGATACAATATTACATAAATAAAAACTATAAATTCCCAAAAAGGGATCCTGAAATAAAGTGCAACTGTGTGAATATCTAAAGCCAGGTGACAAATTCAGACCCCATATGCCCCCCAGTCCCAGGGTGACTCCCATAAATGGGATACACGGGAAGGTGCCAATCAATGTGTGGTGACAGAAATGTTCAATAGACAATGAAAGACTCATCATAACAAAGCAGCAAATGTCCTTTTGAGTCCAATAATAGTGCTGTGGGATCCTCCACCCTCAACAGGGAACTGGTGTCATGTGGTGTATATTCCAAAGAAATCCCAAAAATGGCTGAAATGCCCGCTCACCCTACGGGCCATCACCCCCGGATCCTACACTGGCCGACCTCCATACACACAGGGTTCCAATGTGCCAGGTATGTAGTCCCCTTCCTGGATGGATAGGCCGGTGACTATCTCCAGCCCCCTCACAGGGACTCTGCCCGGCTCTCAGTTCTCACATGGCCATCAAAGAAGAGGAAATACTTCCATAGTGCACAATCACAACAAACACCGCCAGTAGATTCATTACTGCAGTATTAGGGCATTCCACCTGTATCCTGGGTGCACCAAGATGGCTGCCGGCGTAATGACGTCACATGACTTCATCAGGATAACCTTTAGAGTGTATCATCCCAATCTGGGACTGGGGGGCATATGGGGTCTGAATTTGTGACCCGTCTTTAGATATTCACACAGTTGCACTTTATATATTTTCGCTCTTTATTTCAGGATCCCTTTTTGGGAATTAATAGTTTTTATTTATGTAATATTGTATCATTTTATGTGTATTTATTGTTAGTGCTGCACCCGATGTACATTATTCATGACCTCTGAGAGAGCCCGGGGGGAAGGGGGTGACCTCTGAGAGGGCCCGGGGGGAAGGGGGTGACCTCTGAGAGGGCCCGGGGGGAAGGGGGTGACCTCTGAGAGGGTCCAGAGGGAAGGGGGTGACCTCTGAGAGGGCCCGGGGGGAAGGGGGTGACCTCTGAGGGTCCAGAGGGAAGGGGGTACCTCTGAGAGGGCCCGGGGGGGAAGGGGGTGACCTCTGAGAGGGTCCGGGGGGAAGGGGGTGAACCTCTGAGAGGGTCCAGAGGGAAGGGGGTAACCTCTGAGAGGGTCCAGAGGGAAGGGGGTGACCTCTGAGAGGGCCCGGGGGGAAGGGGGTGACCTCTGAGAGGGCCCGGGGGGAAGGGGGTGACCTCTGAGAGGGCCCGGGGGGAAGGGGGTGACCTCTGAGAGGGTCCAGAGGGAAGGGGGTAACCTCTGAGAGGGTCCAGAGGGAAGGGGGTGACCTCTGAGAGGGCCCGGGGGGAAGGGGGTGACCTCTGAGAGGGCCCAGAGGGAAGGGGGTGACCTCTGAGAGGGCCCGGGGGAAGGGGGTGACCTCTGAGAGGGCCCGGGGGGAAGGGGGTGACCTCTGAGAGGGTCCAGAGGGAAGGGGGTAACCTCTGAGAGGGTCCAGAGGGAAGGGGGTGACCTCTGAGAGGGTCCAGAGGGAAGGGGGTGACCTCTGAGAGGGCCCAAACGGGGGGAAGGGGGTGACCTCTGAGAGGGTCCCGGAGGGAAGGGGGTGACCTCTGAGAGGGCCCGGGGGGAACAGTGAACTCTGAGAGGGCCCAAACGGAAGGGGTGACCTCTGAGAGGGCCCGGGGGGAACGGGTGACCTCTGAGAGGGCCCGGGGGGAACTTGTGACCTCTGAGAGGGCCCAAAGGGAAGGGGGTGACCTCTGAGAGGGCCCGGGGGGGTTTGAACGGGTGACCTCTGAGAGGGCCCGGGGGGAACTTGTGACCTCTGAGAGGGCCCAGGGGGAAGTGGCTGACCTCTGAGAGGGAGGGCCCGGGGGGGGTGTGACCTCTGAGAGGGCCCGGGGGGAACGGGTGACCTCTGAGAGGGCCCGGGGGGAACGGGTGAACTCTGAGGGCCCGGAAGGTTTATAGTTGAGGTATGAGGACGGGCCGGGGTGAATCTCTATGGGGAGCGGTGCGGGTGACACTGACAAGGTTCCATTTCTCGTCCTCTAGACCCCCCCACTGCAGGATAATCTCCGGAAACACTGTGAGTCCCACAGAACCCAACCACAGTCCTCAGTCCAGATACCGCCGACGACACCAACCAACCGCACCACCGACAACCATCAGGCCACGCCCCACGGTGAGAATATGTGTAATAATAACATCACTCTGTATCCCAGCGTCCCGGTACCGTACAGTGTGCTCCCCTCCGTCCCAGCGTCCCGGTACCGTACAGTGTGCTCCCCTCCGTCCCAGCGTCCCGGTACCGTACAGTGTGCTCCCCTCCGTCCCAGCGTCCCGGTACTGTACAGTGCCCCCCCCTCCGTCCCAGCGTCCCGGTACCGTACAGTGCCCCCCCTCCGTCCCAGCGTCCCGGTACCGTACAGTGCCCCCCCCTCCGTCCCAGTACCGTACAGTGTGCTCCCCTCCGTCCCAGCGTCCCGGTACCGTACAGTGCCCCCCCCCGTCCCAGCGTCCCGGTACCGTACAGTGCCAGTGTGCCCCCTCCGTCCCAGCGTCCCGGTACCGTACAGTGCCCCCCCCGTCCCAGCGTCCCAGTACCGTACAGTGCCCCCCCCCCTCCGTCCCAGCGTCCCGGTACCGTACAGTGCCCCCCCCTCCTCCGTCCCGGTACCGTACAGTGTGCTTCCTTATATGAAGAGGGGTATACCCTCTGTGTATATGGGGGGGTGGGCACACGGTGCAGTGTTGCTGGGGATCCTCAAGTGTACACACGGTGCAGTGTTGCTGGGGATGCTCAGGTGTACACACGGTGCAGTGTTGCTGGGGATGCTCAGGTGTACACACGGTGCAGTGTTGCTGGGGATCCTCAGGTGGCCCTGTGTACACACGGTGCAGCGTTGCTGGGGATCCTCAGTGTGGCCCTGTGTACACCCATGCAGTGTTGCTGGGGATCCTCAGGTGTACACACGGTGCAGCGTTGCTGGGGATCCTCAGGTGTACACCCGGTGCAGCGTTGCTGGGGATCCTCAGGTGTACACCCGGTGCAGCGTTGCTGGGGATCCTCAGGTGTACACACGGTGCAGCGTTGCTGGGGATCCTCAGGTGTACACACGGCGCAGCGTTGCTGGGGATCCTCAGGTGTACACACGGCGCAGCGTTGCTGGGGATCCTCAGGTGTACACACGGCGCAGCGTTGCTGGGGATCCTCAGGTGTACACACGGCGCAGCGTTGCTGGGGATCCTCAGGTGTACACACGGCGCAGCGTTGCTGGGGATCCTCAGGTGTACACACGGCGCAGCGTTGCTGGGGATCCTCAGGTGTACACACGGTGCAGTGTTGCTGGGGAACAGTGTAGTAGAGACAGCTGGCATTCTTCTGTAGCAGCAGCTGCTGTGTGGGCTCCGCCCTGTCCCGCCCCCTCCCTGCCTCCGGCTGGACTGTGGGATTGGAGGAGGGAAAGGGGCGGGACAGGCGGACTCGCCTTTCATTCATTGTCTGGTTGGTGCTCCCAGTCAGCATGGAGGGGGAGGGGGGGCTGTGTGCGGACAATGTGGAGCGACTCGCCTCAACAACAGGAGGCTCTGGCCTGGAGCAAAGCTTTCTGAGAGTGCCGGATCCACCAGGACCATCCGTCCTCCTCCACCCAACCCCAGGACTGTGGACTGAGAGCCACAAACGGGGCCCCAACTGAGGACTAAGACAACTGGGGCCCCAACTGAGGACTGAGGCAACCGGGGCCCCAACTGAGGACTGAGACAACCGGGACCCCAACTAGGACTGAGAAAGACAGCTGGGACCCCAACTGAGGACTGAGAGAGACAACCAGGACCCCAACTGAGGACTGAGACAACCGGGGCCCCAACTGAGGACTGAGACAACCGGGACCCCAACAAGGACTGAGAGAGACAGCCGGGACCCCAACTGAGGACTGAGACAACCGGGACCCCAACTGAGGACTGAGAGAGAAAGCCGGGACCCCAACTGAGGACTGAGACAACCGGGACCACAATAGAGGGCCCAGAGACTGCCCGAATCCAAAACCAGCCAGAGTTCCAGCAGAGGGCTGAAGTGGAGGACCTTTAGGTACCGGGACTGGGAGGAATCTTCAGTAACCAGAATCCGAGACATCGAAGTCTAAGCTCAACTCCAACCAAAGACCAAGAGAGACCAAGAGCCCAGCACAGCAGGGGGGACCTCATTCTTCATCACTGGGATTAGGGACCGCTGTACTCCGCAACACTTGGGACACCCCGAATCCCACAGGAGGGCCAGGAGACCAGACCTACCACCTACAGGTGACTGGGGGCCTCCTCTCAGGGGCCTAGAGTCCGAGTCCTCTGTGGTGAAGCCTGGGAGACCAGGAGGCTGGGGGTATACAGACCCCTATTGTGGAGCACCATTTGTGGGTCCGGTTGGGTGGTGGTGATATTGGTGAGCACCATTTGTGGGTCCGGTTGGTGGTGGTGATAGGCAGCACCATTTGTGGGTCCGGTTGGGGTGGTGATATTGGTGGAGCACCATTTGTGGGTCCGGTTGGGGTGGTGATATTGGCAAGCACCATTTGTGGGTCCGGTGGGGTGGTGATATTGGTGGAGCACCATTTGTGGGTCCGGTTGGGGTGGTGATGATATTGGTGGAGCACCATTTGTGGGTCCGTTGGGGTGGTGTGTGGTGATATTGGTGGAGCACCATTTCTGGGTCCGGTTGGGTGGTGATATTGGTGGAGCACCATTTGTGGGTCCGGTTGGGGTGGTGATATTGGTGGGAGCACCATTTGTGGGTCCGGTTGGGGTGGTGATATTGGTGGAGCACCATTTGTGGGTCGTGGGTCCGGTTGGGGTGGTGATATTGGTGGAGCACCATTTGTGGGTCCGGTTGGGGTGGTGTGATATTGGTGGAGCACCATTTGTGGGTCCGGTTGGGGTGGTGGTGATATTGGTGGAGCACCATTTGTGGGTCCGGTTGGGGTGGGTGATATTGGCGGAGCACCATTTGTGGGTCCGGTTGGGGTGGTGATATTGGCGGAGCACCATTTGTGGGTCCGGTTGGGGTGGGTGATATTGGCGGAGCACCATTTGTGGGTCCGGTTGGGGTGGTGGTGTGATATTGTGGAGCACCATTTGTGGGTCCGGTTGGGGTGGTGATGATTTGGTGGAGCACCATTTGTGGGTCCGGTTGGGGTGTGTTGTGGTGATATTGGGAGCACCATTTGTGGGTCCGGTTGGGGTGGTGATTTTGGTGGAGCACCATTTGTGGGTCAGGTTGGGGTGGTGATTTTGGTGGTGGAGCACCATTTGTGGGTCCGGTTGGGGGTGGTGATTTTGTGGAGCACCATTTGTGGGTCCGGTTGGGGTGGTGATATTGGTGGAGCACCATTTGTGGGTCCGGTTGGGGGTGGTGGTGATATTGGTGGAGCACCATTTGTGGGTCCGGTTGGGGTGGTGATATTGGCGGAGCACCATTTGTGGGTCCGGTTGGGGTGGTGATATTGGTGGAGCACCATTTGTGGGTCCGGTTGGGGTGGTGATATTGGTGGAGCACCATTTGTGGGTCCGGTTGGGGTGGTGGTGGTGATATTTGGTGGAGGACCATTTGTGGGTCCGGTTGGGGTGGTGATATTGGCGGAGCACCATTTGTGGGTCCGGGGGTGGGGTGGTGATTGGGGTTGGTGGAGCACCATTTGTGGGTCCGGTTGGGGTGGTGATTTTGGTGGAGCACCATTTGTGGGTCCGGTTGGGGTGGTGGTGGTGATATTGGTGGAGGACCATTTGTGGGTCCGGTTGGGGTGGTGATATTGGTGGAGCACCATTTGTGGGTCCGGTTGGGGTGGTGATATTGGTGGAGCACCATTTGTGGGTCCGGTTGGGGTGGTGATATTTTGGTGGAGCACCATTTGTGGGTCCGGTTGGGGTGGTGATTTTGGTGGAGCACCATTTGTGGGTCCGGTGGGGGGTGGTGATTTTGGTGGAGCACCATTTGTGGGTCCGGTTGGGGTGGTGGTGATTTTGGTGGAGCACCATTTGTGGGTCCGGGTGGTGGTGATATTGGTGGAGACCATTTGTGGGTCCGGTTGGGGTGGGGATATTGGCGGAGCACCATTTGTGGGTCCGGTTGGGGTGGGATATTGGCGGAGCACCATTTGTGGGTCCGGTTGGGGTGGTGATATTGGTGGAGCACCATTTGTGGGTCCGGTTGGGGTGGTGATATTGGTGGAGCACCATTTGTGGGTCCGGTTGGGGTGGTGGTGATATTGGTGGAGCACCATTTGTGGGTCCGGTTGGGGGTGGTGATATTGGTGGAGCACCATTTGTGGGTCCGGTTGGGGTGGTGATATTGGTGGAGCACCATTTGTGGGTCCGGTTGGGGTGGTGGTGGTGATATTGGTGGAGGACCATTTGTGGGTCCGGTTGGGGGTGGGTGGTGGTGATATTGGCGGAGCACCATTTGTGGGTCCGGTTGGGGTGGGTGGTGGTGATATTGGTGGATCACCATTTGTGGGGTCCGGTTGGGGTGGTGGTGGTGATATTGGTGGAGGACCATTTGTGGGTCCGGTTGGGGTGGTGGTGGTGATATTGGGGAGCACCATTTGTGGGTCCGGTTGGGGTGGTGGTGGTGATATTGGCGGAGCACCATTTGTGGGTCCGGTTTGGGGTGGTGGTGGTGATATTGGTGGATCACACATTTGTGGGTCCGGTTGGGGTGGTGATATTGGTGATCACCATTTGTGGGTCCGGTTGGGGTGGTGATATTGGCGGAGCACCATTTGTGGGTCCGGTTGGGGTGGTGATATTGGTGGAGGACCATTTGTGGGTCCGGTTGGGGTGGTGATATTGGCGGAGCACCATTTGTGGGTCCGGTTGGGGTGGTGATATTGGTGGAGGACCATTTGTGGGTCCGGTTGGGGTGGTGATATTGGTGGAGGACCATTTGTGGGTCCGGTTGGGGTGGTGATATTGGTGGAGCACCATTTGTGGGTCCGTTGGGGTGGTGGTGATATTGGTGGAGCACCATTTGTGGGTCCGGTTGGGGGTGGTGATATTGGCGGAGCACCATTTGTGGGTCCGGTTGGGGTGGGGATATGTGATATGGTGGAGGACCATTTGTGGGTCCGGTTGGGGTGGTGATATTGGTGGAGGACCATTTGTGGGTCCGGTTGGGGTGGTGATATTGGTGGAGGACCATTTGTGGGTCCGGTTGGGGTGGTGATATTGGTGGAGGACCATTTGTGGGTCCGGTTGGGGGTGATGGTGTGATATTGGTGGAGCACCATTTGTGGGTCCGGTTGGGGTGGTGGTGGTGATATTGGTGGACGATTTCCCCGTGTCATGTGATTGGTGGAGGGGTGGATGGAGATCCCTCTGTAGTGTGGGGTGTTCAGGAGAACCTCTTCCCTCCTGTGAGGGTTTCCAGGATGACTCCTCCTGCTGGTCCTGATTGGTAAGGAGAGATCTGTGGACAGATTGGGGTCAGTGTGTGGTGGACGGGTTCTGGGAAATATCGATTCTTCCTTCCATTGTATAACTCATTCCTGATATAGAGATGGGAGGAGTCTCTCTGCAGGGAGTCCCACCATCATACATAGACAGGCCGCCTGTGTTTTGGTTGACCAGTAATGACCCCCCCACTAGGGTGGGGAGGGACTTTCCATGAGGTGACCCCTTCCAGCAGGATGTGTAGTCACCAGTCTGGGGGGAGGGGGAATATTCTGGAGCCCATGTGACCTCTCCTGTGTCTCCTCCCCCAGATCCCGGGCAGAACATCCAGGCCAAGCTCATCTCTTCCCCTCCTCTGGACATGACCTCCGGAAACGGCTCCGCCCCTCTACCTGCAGCGGCCACTGGCAGCGCCCCCCAGAACGGGGAGAACAAACCGCCACAGGCTGTGGTCAAACCGCAGATCCTCACACACGTCATCGAGGGCTTCGTCATCCAGGAGGGGGCCCAGCCCTTCCCGGTAAGGTGGGGGGGATTGGGTCGTGGGGGGATGGGGGGCATTGGTTGGTGGGAGGTTGGGTTCGTCAGTGTGGGGGGGAAGGGGGGATTGGTCAGGGGGAATTGGTCAGTGGGGGGAGGGGGGATTATTCAGTGGGGGAGGGAATTTGTGTGTGGGGGAGAGGATTGGTAGGGGGTGGAGGATTGGTCAGTGGGGGGAGGGGATTTGGGTGTGGGGGAGAGGATTGGTTGGTGGGGGGATTTGTGTGTGGGGGGGGGGATGGGGGGGGGGAGGGGATTGGTTGGGGGGGGGGAGGGGGGTCGGGGGTGGTGGGGGGGGGGATCGGGTGGTTCGGGGGAGTGGGTCGGTCGGGGGGGGGAGGGGGATCGGTCGGTGGGGGGGAGGGGGATCGGTCGGTGGGGGGGAGGGGATCGGTCGGTGGGGGGGTATACTGTATGTCTGTCACTGATTCCCGTCTTGTTTTGCAGTCACACCGGAGTAGAGTCGCCCTGGAGGTGAGTCGTCTTCCTCACCCAATCTGGTGGAGCACCATTTATGGGTCCGCTTGTGCCACGTGGACGTCTCGTGTAGGGGAGGGGGGGGGGGGGACTTGTGGGGGGGGGGAGACATTTCGTGGGGGGGTCACCTTGTGTAGGGGGGGGGGCATCCTGTGTAGGGGAGGGGGGGGACATCTTGTGTAGGGGGGGTCACCTCGTGTAGGGGGGGGTCACCTCGTAGGGGGGGTTATCTCGTGTAGGGGGGGGGGGGTCACCTCGTGTAGGGGGGGGGTACATCTCATGTAGGGGGGGTCACCTCAGGGGGGGGGGGTCACCTTGTGGGGTTGTGTAGGGGGGGTCACCTTGTGTGGGGGGGGGGGTCACCTTGTGTGGGGGGGGGGACATCTCGTGTAGGGGGGGGTCACATCTCGTGTAGGGGGGGGGGGGGAAACCTCGTGTAGGGGGGGTTATCTCGTGTAGGGGGGGGGGGGGACCTCGTGTAGGGGGGGGTACATCTCGTGTAGGGGGGGGGTCACCTTGTGTTGGGGGGGGGTAAGGGGGGGTTACATCTCGTGTAGGGGGGGGGACACCTCGTGTAGGGGGGTCACCTTGTGTGGGGGGGGGTCACCTTGTGTGGGGGGGGGGTCACCTCGTGTAGGGGGGGTCACCTCGTGTGGGGGGGGGACATCTCGTGTAGGGGGGGACATCTCGTGTAGAGGGGGGGGGGGACACCTCGTGTGGGGGGGGGACACGGGGGGACATCTCGTGTAGGGGGGGACACATCTCGTGTAGGGGGGGACATCTCGTGTAGGGGGGGGGGGGACATCTCGTGTAGGGGGGGGGGGTCACATCTCGTGTAGGGGGGGGTCACCTCGTGGGGGGGGGGTCACCTCGTGTAGGGGGGTCACCTTGTGTAGGGGGGGTGTGTGGGGGGGGGGTCACCTTGTGTGGGGGGGGGTCACCTCGTGTAGGGGGGGGGACATCTCGTGTAGGGGGGGTCACCTCGTGTAGGGGGGGGGTCACCTCGTGTAGGGGGGGGTACATCTCGTGTAGGGGGGGGACACTCGTGTAGGGGGGGGACACCTCGTGTGGGGGGGGGTCACCTCGTGTGGGGGGGGGGGTCCACTTGTGTGGGGGGGGGGGGGGTCACCTCGTGTAGGGGGGGGGTCACCTCGTGTGGGGGGGGGACATCTCGTGTAGGGGGGGGGACATCTCATGTAGGGGGGGGGGGGGACACCTCGTGTGGGGGGGGGACACGGGGGGGGGGGCATCTCGTGTGGGGGGGGGGTCACCTCGTGTAGTCGGGGGGGGGGTCACATCTCGTGTGGGGGGGGTCACCTCCTGTGTGGGGGGGGGGACATCTCGTGTAGGGGGGGGGGACCCTTGTGTAGGGGGGGACACCTTGTGGGGGGGGGACACCTCGTGTAGGGGGGGGTGACACCTCGTGTAGGGGGGGGGGACATCTCGTGTAGGGGGGGACATCTCGTTGTAGGGGGGGTCACCTTGTGTGGGGGGGGGGGGGGACATCTCGTGTAGGGGGGGGTCACCTCGTGTAGGGGGAGACATCTCGTGTAGGGGGGGGGGGGGGGTCGTGTAGGGGGGGGTCACCTCGTGTGGGGGGGGGTCACCTTGTGTAGGGGGGGGACATCTCGTGTAGGGGGGGGGGGGGGACACCTCGTGTGGGGGGGGGGGCACCTCGTGTGGGGGGGGGGGCACCTCGTGTAGGGGGGGGGGACATCTCGTGTAGGGGGGGGGACACCTTGTGTAGGGGGGGGTGTAGGGGGGGGGGACACCTTGTGGGGGGGGGGGGGACACCTTGTGTAGGGGGGGGGGGACATCTCGTGTAGGGGGGGGGGACATCTCGTGTGTAGGGGGGGGGGACACATCTCGTGTAGGGGGGGGTCACCTTGTGTGGGACAGGGGGGGGACACCTCGTGTAGGGGGGGGGACACCTCGTGTAGGGGGGGGGGGACACCTCGTGTAGGGGGGGGGGGGGGGGGTACACCTCGTGTAGGGGGGGGGACACCTCGTGTAGGGGGGGGGGGGGGACATCTCGTGTAGGGGGGGGGGGGGTGTAGGGGGGGGGGACACCTCGTGTAGGGGGGGGACATCTCGTGTAGGGGGGTCACCTCGTGTGGGGGGGGGGGGGACATCTCGTGTGTGGGGGGGGGACATCTCATGTAGGGGGGGGGGGGGGACACCTCGTGTAGGGGGGGGGGGGACACCTCGTGTAGGGGGGGGGGGGGGACATCTCGTGTGGGGGGGGACACCTCGTGTAGGGGGGGGGGGGACACCTTGTGTAGGGGGGGGGGACACCTCGTGTAGGGGGGGGGGGGGACACCTCGTGTAGGGGGGGGGACATCTCGTGTAGGGGGGGGGGGACACCTCGTGTAGGGTGGGGGGGGGGGGACATCTCGTGGGGGGGGGGGGGGACATCTCTCATGTAGGGGGGGGGGGACACCTTGTGTAGGGGGGGACACCTCGTGTAGGGGGGGGACACACACGGGGGAAGCATGGATGGGGACCTTGGATGTCAGCCTCTTACAATCCCTAACTGCAGTTCCTCTTGTGACCAGGCGGGGCGCTCCTCTCTACTGGTGGGGACCAAGGAGAAGGGTCAGCAGGGGCTTCTGCCTGAGAAGGTCCCCCAGCAGGACAACAACACCCCCACCGACTCGGAGCTGGAAGAGCCCAGTGTACCAGGTACTGCGTGTGATTGGCCGGTGAGGTCACCTGCTCTGCCTGGACTTCTGATTGGTCAGACTACCTATTTCAGTGTCTTAGTGGGTGATTGGACAGGGAGGTCACATGACCTGGGTAGCAGTGTTATTAAATATTTATATTTTGCCCATTTTTTTTCTGCTTTTTATTCCCAGAATCAAAGAGTGATGGAGATCCCCCCAAACTGAAGTGTGGTGTGGTGTGTGTATGGGGGGGGGTGTAGTGTGTGTGTGGGGGGGGGGGGGGGGGGGGTAGTGGGGGGGGGGGGGGAGTAGCGTGTATGGGGGGGGGGGGGGGGGAGTAGTGTGTATTGGGGGGGGGGGGGAGGAGGAGGGGAGTAGCGTGTATGGGGGAGGGGTAGGGTAGTAGTGTGGATGGGGGAGGGTAGTAGTGTGGATGGGGGAGGGGAGGGTGTGTATGGGGGGGGGAGGAGGAGAGTAGTGTGTATGTGGGGGGGGGGAGGAGGGGGGAGTGTGTATGGGGGGAGGGGAGCGTTGAGCCTGCAGGCAGCGTGGTATAATGCAGGCGCTGTGTCTGGTCTCCTGCAGGTATAACGTGGGTTGCACGAAGCGTGTCGGTCTCTTCCATCCCGACCGGCACAAGGTGCAGAAGCCGGAGAAGCACAGCCGGAGGAGACCAGGGAAAGGCGGTGTGACCGACCTCGGTACTGACTGCATAAAGCAGGTGAGATCTGCTACTACATGGGGCAGGGAGTGCAGCAACACAGCGGCAGTCACTGCCTCTCCTTCACCCCTCGGCTGACCATGAACCCCAAGAGTACCTTCACCCCTCGGCTGACCATGAACCCCGAGAGTATTCTCACTCCTCGGCTGACCATGAACCCCGAGAGTATCCTCGTCCCTCGGCTGACCATGAACCCCGAGAGTACCTTCACCCCTCGGCTGACCATGAACCCCGAGAGTATCCTCGCCCGACCATGAACCCCGAGAGTATCCTCGCCCCTCGGCTGACCATGAACCCCAGGAGTACCTTCACCCCTCGGCTGACCATGAACCCCAAGAGTATCCTCGCCCCTCGGCTGACCATGAACCCCAAGAGTACCTTCACCCCTCGGCTGACCATGAACCCCGAGAGTATCCTCGCCCCTCGGCTGACCATGAACCCCGAGAGTATCCTCGCCCCTCGGCTGACCATGAACCCCGAGAGTATCCTCGCCCCTCGGCTGACTCTGAATTTGGAGGACATCCTTGTCCCCAATCTGAAGGGTTTCCTTAGCCTGGGCTGCCCCATCCAGGGCTCCCCTCACCCACCCCAGGGTGCTCAGGATTGGTGCCCCCGTGTCTGTGTGCCCTCCATGTACTAATCGTCTCCCACTGACCCATCACCACCCTGGAACCAGCATTGGTCCAGCACAGTCTGCTCCAGGTTGGTGCCTCCGGGAATCCTGAATAGGCCGCCATGTGTTCTCCCAGTGAGGACTTTATTCCCCGCAACGCATCACCTTCACCCACCCCGGAGAACGAACTCCGAACACGACATCGACCCAGATGACCACCCTGGTGACCCCTGAGGTGCTGCTGGTAGCACACGGAATGCAGTCCGCCTAGGATAATAACAGCAGGTTTATAATTGGCTCTCTCTTGCAGGTGTCGGGATCCGTCACTCCCTCCAGTCCCACCCCTCTGTCCGTCTCCTCCACCCTCAAGCACACCAACAGCCAAGAGGACTCCAGCCGCTGCTCTGACAACTCCAGCTACGAGGAGCCATTGTCTCCACTGTCTGCAAGCTCCTCCCTCTCCCGCCAACGCCGACGAGACATGGAAATGACGAGTCTCCACCCACACCTCAACCACCACTTCCTGCCCAGCGACCCCACCAAGTGGAACGTGGAGGACGTGTACGAGTTCATCCGCTCCTTGCCAGGTGAGTGACGGCTCCTGCCCCCACCGCACATGGGAGGATGGCTCCCGATACGGCTCCTGCCCCCACCGCGTGCGTGGGAATATCGCTCCCGATATGGCGGGTCCAGCCCCACCACACGTGGGAGGATGGCTCCCGATACGGCTCCTGCCCCCACCGCATGCGTGGGAATATCGCTCCCGATACGGCGGGTCCAGCCCCCACCACACGTGGGAGGATGGCTCCTGATACGGCTCCTGCCCCCACCGCGTGTGTGGGAGGATCGTTCCTGAGTGTATGGGAGACTCTGGCCTCTCGTCCTGCGTGCCAGAAAGGCTCTGGGCCCCTGAATGAACGATTATTCCGCTTCTCTGGCACTGATCACATACAGAAACAGTCATGTGTTCAGTAAGTACGGGGCCTGGGGTCGATGCGGGGCCTGGGGTTGGTGCAGTGACGGAACAAATGACAGTGCGCTCCCCAGTCTAGTCCCCCCTTTTTCCCCTGGATGGTACACTCCTCCCTGTGAAGACCACGAGGCTCTTCACCCCACAAAGCCCTAGAGCAGGTTTGGAGACAATCATGGGACAAGGTTCCCACCACCCCCCAGCCGGCCCGCGGATTGCGCAGCACACAGAATAGGGCGGGTTGTCGGTGAGTTCCGCCATCTTTCCTCACCTCCTCCCATTCTCTTCCAGGCTGCCAGGAAATCTCGGAGGAGTTCCGGTCTCAGGAGATCGATGGCCAAGCTCTGCTTCTTCTGAAGGAGGACCACCTGATGAGCGCTATGAACATTAAACTGGGTCCGGCCCTGAAGATCTACGCCCGCATCAGTATGCTGAAAGACTCCTGACCACGGTGACCGACGGTAACCCCTTCCAGAGACTCTGCCCTCCAATCCGCCATCTCCCAGGATCCGGGGCCTAGCGGACTCCACCCCCACCCCGGAGGGCCGTTATTTATAGACGTTTTCTTTTATACCTTCTTTGTATTTTTATGAAGAAATTCTATTTTACGAGAACTTCTCCGTTTTCAGCAGAAATGATTTTGTAGATCGTTCTCTTTATTAGAATCCTTTTCAGTACCAATTGTGCAATAATCAGCACCCCGTATACCCGCCATGTAGGGTGTGGTCACTGAGGAGGGGGGACAAAGGGGGCGGGCGTGGTCACTGAGGAGGGGGGACAAAGGGGGCGGGCGCGGGTCACTGAGGAGGGGGGACAGAGGTGGCGGGCGCGGTCACTGAGGAGGGGGGACAGAGGTGGCGGGCGCGGTCACTGAGGAGGGGGGGGACAAAGGTGGCGGGCGTGGTCACTGAGGAGGGGGGACAAAGGTGGCGGGCGCGGTCACTGAGGAGGGGGACAAAGGTGGCGGGCGCGGTTACTGAGGACAAAAGGCAACAGGTGTGATCACTGAGGAGGGGGGGACAAAGGTGGCGGGCGCGGTCACAGAGGACAAAAGGCGACGGGTGTGGTCACTGAGGACAAAAGGCAACGGGCGTGGTCACTGAGGACAAAAGGTGACGGGCGTGGTCACTGAGGGGGCCATAGTGGACAGGCACAGTCACTGAGGAGGGGGGACAAAGATGATGGGTGCAGTCACTGAGGAGGGGGGGGGACAAAGACTATGGGCGTGGTCACTGAGGATGCGGGACAAAGGCGACAGGCACAGTCAATAAGGAGGGGCCATGGGCGCAGTCAATGAGGAGGGAGACACGGGTGATGGGCACAGTTGCCAAGGAGGGGGACACGGGAGATGGGCGCAGTTGCCGAGGAGGGGGACACGGGAGATGGGCGCAGTTGCCGAGGAGGGGGACACAGGCGACAGGTGCAGTCAATGAGGAGGGGGACACGGGCGCAGTCACTGAGGGGGAGACGGGCGCAGTTGTCGAGGAGGGGGACATGGGCGACAGGTGCAGTCAATGAGGAGGGGGGACACGGGCGCAGTCACTGAGGGGGACACGGGCGAAGTCCTCCATCTTTCCTCTCTAATGGTATGAAGTGCAATATCCCGATGCCCCTATTGGTGCAGCTTCTACTGTTCGGCCCTGGGACCGGTCACATGGTGCTATGGTGGTGCTAGGTCACTTTTTTGAAGTGTTTTGTTTGTTTTATAAATAAAATTGCAGTTGAATAACCGTGGATGGGACGTTCTGTTATCGAGGGACGTTGTGTCACCGAGGGGCGTGGAATAACCGTGGATTGTGGAGGGGCGTGGAGTAACGTTGTGTCACCGAGGGGCGTGGAATAACCGCGGATGGGACGTTCTGTCACCAAGGGGCGTGGAATAACCGCGGATGGGACGTTCTGTCACCGAGGGGCGTGGAGTAACCGCGGATGGGACGTTGTGTCACCGAGGGGCGTGGAGTAACCGCGGATGGGACGTTGTGTCACCGAGGGGCGTGGAGTAACCGCGGATGGGACGTTGTGTCATCGAGGGGCGTGGAGTAACCGCGGATGGGACGTTGTGTCATCGAGGGGCGTGGAATAACCGCGGATGGGACGTTGTGTCATCGAGGGGCGTGGAATAACCGCGGATGGGACGTTGTGTCATCGAGGGGCGTGGAATAACCGCGGATGGGACGTTGTCATCGAGGGGCGTGGAATAACCGCAGGATGGGACGTTGTATTATCGAGGGGCGTGGAGTAACCGCGGATGGGACGTTGTGTCATCAAGGGGCGTGGAGTAACTGTGGATGGGACGTTGTATTTATCGAGGGGCGTGGAATAGCCGCGGATGGGACTTTCTGTCATCGAGGGGCGTGGAGTAACCGCGGATGGGACGTTGTATTATCGAGGGGCGTGGAATAACCGCGGATGGGACTTTCTGTCATCGAGGGGCGTGGAATAACCGTGGATGGGATGTTGTGTCATCGAGGGGCGTGAAGTGTCTGTTCCCCCCTCCCCCCCAGTAATCACTGCAGCTGCCGCCCGATGGAGCGATTACACAACAGAACTCGGTCGCAGGAAAAGACATTCATCATTTATGAAGAGTTCATGAATCCATTTCTGGGCTTCACTCACGAGAGGCACAGCTGGCCTAGAAAATGGCAGTTGGGAGAAGTGAAGGGTTCTGTGGGGAATACAGACAGTTCACGATAGGAGGATGCAGACATTTCTAGTACTGAGGAGTACGAGTCAAAATCGGATATCTGCTCAGCAGATGGGGGGGTGATAATAACGGGGCACACAATCCGACAGACACAGCTCTGCCAGCCATTGACGGGGCCCCATGGAGGGTGGTGTCCCCACTTGTCACCTACATCTTCAGGGGGGATTTGAGGGTGTCTGGTCCCGGTTTGTGTCCACACCCAGGAGTGCTGATCTAACACTCTGAAGGACAGTCCTGCTCCCAGGTTATGGGGATTTCATCCCTACGTTGACAACAACCAATTAGAACGGGTTTAGGGGAACAAGGTGTCAAAGTCTAAAACTGGATTTTTGGGGTTATTTTTTTCAGCAATTTCCAGCCAACACCGAGCAGCTTTAGAGGAAATCTGGGTTTTGTACTCACCATAAAATCCTTTTCTTGCAGACTGTGGAGGGCCACAGGTAGGCATTAGCATTATACTGCCACCTCCTGGAGGATTGAATGCTGACAAAAATATTGTACACCAGTCCAGGACAACGCCCCCTCCTCCCAGCATGCCTCAGTGTTGTAGGAAGCATCATTGGCACCAGAGAAGGGTAGGACCTTTGTCCCTCAATGGACTCCAAGGAAAGGATTTTACAGCAAACACACGAATCCATCTCCTTGTTCATTGAGGGACACAGGAAGTCTGGTCAGGAGGTTCAGAAGTTGTCCATCGGAGGGGTGGGCAGCAGCCAGAACTGTTACCTGGCCAAACAAAAAGAACGAACAGCCAGAAGGACCATGGCTAAATCTGACGCCGGACCCAGCTGATAGGAGGACCTGTCACCACCAACAGAAGAAGGACACAGAGAATCCCCCCTGATGGTGTAGAAGACCCGATAATAAAGACTTATCAGCCAGAAAGGAATGACATCACCAAAACGCAGGAGAGAGAACCCGGTCAATGGGAACCCACCAGGCGGAACAAACAAATTCTTATTAGGGAAGAAAAAAATCTACAACCTGACGTGGTCAACATCGAAAGGGTTCAGGTCCCCTAGTAGGACTAGGCACCAGAGAAGGAACCCAGGAAAAGGCCATAGTCAGAGTCTATTACCGAGAGGTATTTCAGACCACTCACCTCTATCTCTGGATCTGACCACGGCACTGGAGGGGGTGGTGTGGAGGTTGTCATGCTACTGGATCTCAAATCCCGTTATTGAACCTTGGATTCAAATGTCTTTCAGAGCATTTTGGCTTGTTAATGTGGGCACCTCCTCCCCAGGCACCTTCTGAGACATGTTCAAGGCCTTTGTGTGAACATCCGTAGGGAATACCACCTACATCTCACTAGACAACAAGGCCAAGTGCTTGGAAAATCAATGCATTCTCCAAGATCTGCATGTCTACTCTGAACGATAGGTGGCTCTTCAGGAAGTGAGGATGCTTCGTACCTCATTGACTCAGAAACAGAAGGAAAGCCAAAACCCTCTACTCAACAGACCTCTCGAGTCGGGAAAACTAGGAACTACATGCCCAAAGTGATTGTTGTGACAAGCAACCACCTCGCCAAGGTAAGTCTTGCCACGGAAGAACCCAGATGCGGCAACCTGTGAAGGTGAGCCCAAAGCCCACCCAGGACTGGATCTCACAAAGGGGTAAAGTGCATGGGAAGCACCCCAACAAGGGACGTTATGCTGGTAAGATGAATGACATCCCGGATGGGGTGGAGGATGAAGATAGACACTCTCAGCAGTAGACAAGAGGCACCTCTGGGGTAAGCCCTTAGTGGGGTCCTGTTGAAATAATAATCCTGCCTACTTCTCAAGAGTCACAGGGCTAGGAAGGTTCCCCTCCCCCCAGATCCAATGAAACAGTTGCTCAGAAACAAAACCCAACAGCAGCAGAGGAAAGTGCGGAGGAAGACCGAAAATGGAAACGGAAATGTTCCTCGTAGAGGATTCTCCCTCAACACTCGGCTCTTCTACAAAGGCTGAGAGATGGGCGGATCCCTGGCTGAGGGGGCATAAAGGCAAACATGCTGTGGCCTCCCCTTCTGAAGAACCATGCCAAATAATGTCGCCTACAGGGGATGGACAGTTCTTGGCACCAATATCGGGCAAAAGTGGAGCCGGCTGCCTTTTGCAGACAACCGATACAAAGAATGCCATCCACTGGATCCCATGGGAACTGCTCTCCTCACAGGAGGTCACCTGAGTGTCCCACATTGGACATGCCCTGAGAAGGTACTACAGCAGATACAGGAACCAACACCCTGAGGAGTACCAGGTGTACAGGGAGGACAATATGGGGGCATTTACTAAAGGCAAACAGACTGCACTTAGCAAGGTGCAGTTGCTCCAGAGCTTAGTACAGGAGGGGAAGCTCTGCTGACTTCCATCATCCAATCAGGTGCAAGCAAAAATGCTGTTTTTTTTTCCCCTTGCATGTGATTGGGTATTCTTTACAAAGTGAAGCTTTGTTTACTACGCTCTGGAGCAACTGCACTTGCAGAGTGCTCGGTCTATTCGCCTTCAGTAAGTCCACCCCAATCAAATCAAAGGCCGCAGAATAACGAGTGCTAATCCCAGGTCTCCGCCTAGGCCAGAGGAAAGAGGGGGCGATGACACCACTGGGCACCAGGTGCCACTAATGGACCTACAGGCCCCAAGGGAAGAGAACTGCTGCGAGGGAGAAGGCGGTGGCCGGGGCAGGAGCAGACATAGGCTTCAGGAAAGCCCCCAGAGGGCAGGGGAAGGTCTGTGAATCTGTGATGTGGCACAAGAGGGACGAGGCTGAATCGTGTCAGACGGTAGCAGAGGTAAGGGATTAGCCTGGAAACCTAAAAGCCACTCTGCGCCAAGATGCCTCCAATGCAAACGACCCCAAGGACCTGGAAGGATGACAGCAGGTCCCCTGTAGGTATAGACCACGGTCTGATCACATTTCCTCCCAACCAGATGTAACAAAGGTTTGGGTGGGGTCCAGGACTCTGCAGTGTGCTTTCAGTTATAGAGCCGCAGTTCACATCTTCAGTCCTCCACTACCTCCGAACAGGCCATGTTGGTTTGTTGGGCCTGTGAGGTCAGCACCTGTGAGATATTGGGTAATGTGGGCCACAAAGTTCTCTGACTGCATCAGAGCCCCCAGGTATGGAACTCGCTCTCACCTGATGGGGCCTCTGATGAGGTAGACTCTAGAACCACAGGGAAGAAAGATTCCACAATGCAGATGTATGTGACCTCAGAAGGTGAATGTTGCTGGAATCAACACGAGAGCATGAGCTGGGGTCACCCCATGCAGAGGGAACGTCCCCTCTGGATCTACTTACAGACATGTTGCGGTTGGAAGGTGCTGATACAATCAAGCTCAGGGAAGGTCTCAGGTTCTCACAAGAGGGCAGCTGGAAGCCGAGTCTGAGGGCCGGAGGTGATCAAGGTCACTGTAGATGGTGGTCCGAATTGTCCAGAGACGGGGGTGCTGGCTGGCTCTGTTGTAGAGAAGGAGCGAGGTGATGCTTGTCCTACACTGAATGGCAGAAGAGGGCTTCAGAAACCAGCAAAAGGATCACAAGGACCCAGTGGTGCCAAGAGTGAGGTATCTCCATGAGCTCAGCCCGGTCTGCCTGCTCACAGAGAAGTGCCCCCCATAGCTACGTCGTACCAGAACCCCAAGGGGGCTTCCGGCCAATCCTCACCCCTCCAGTCCAGCCAGGCTGAGGAAAGGCCAATCCCAACAGTCCCTATGGCTGCCATGTAGAAGACCAGCTCAAGCAGAAGGGCAGCAAAGAATACTGAATGAGGGAAAACAGAAGAATGGAAGGAGAAATCGAGGAAAAAAGTGTTAAATCTCCCAGTAGAGGTGAAGAAATGACGTCCAATCCTGTCGCTGGCAGTATAACCCGGCATGACGGGGCTTCCTGTGTCCCTCGGGGGAGGAAAGTTATCATTAGTAGTGTCTTCATCAACCATGAACTTGGTAACCAGACTCCCCTCCCCCAACACGCCCATCATTCACCCCTCCCCCGACACGCCCATCATCCACCCCTCCCCCGACACGCCCATCATCCACCCCTCCCCCGACACACCCATCATCCACCCCTCCCCCGACACACCCCATCATCCACCCCTCTCCGACACACCCTTCTTCCCCCCTCCCTCGACACACCCCATCATCCACCCCTCCGACACACCCCATCATCCACCCCTCCCCCGACACCCCATCATCCACCCCTCCCCCGACACACCCTTCTTCCCCCCTCCCTCGACACACCCCATCATCCACCCCCTCCCCCAACACACCCATCATCCACCCCCCCCCCCAACACACCCATCATCCACCCCTCCTCCAACACACCCATCCCTAGACACACCCATCATCCACCACCCCTCCGACACACCCATCATCCACCCCTCCCCCGACACACCCATCAACCAACCCTCCCCCGACACAGTCATCGTCCCCCCTCCCCAACACACCCATCATCCACCCCTCCCCCGACACACCCCATCATCCACCCCTCTCCGACACACCCTTCTTCCCCCCTCCCTCGACACACCCCATCATCCACCCCTCCGACACACCCCATCATCCACCCCTCCCCCGACACCCCATCATCCACCCCTCCCCCGACACACCCTTCTTCCCCCCTCCCTCGACACACCCATCATCCACCCCTCCCCCAACACACCCATCATCCACCCCTCCAACACACACCCATCCCTAGACACACCCCATCATCCACCCCCTCCGACACACCCATCATCCACCCCTCCCCCGACACACCCATCAACCAACCCTCCCCCGACACAGTCATCGTCCCCCCTCCCCGACACACCCATCATCCACCCCTCCCCCGACACACCCATCATCCCTAGACACCCATCATCAATCCTCCGACACACCCATCATCCACCCCTCCCCCAACACACCCATCATCCCTAGTCACACCCATTGTCCCACTCCCCAGACACACCTATCATCCCTAGACACACCCATCGGCCCACTCCCCAAACACACCCATCATCCCTAGACACACCCATGATCCCTAGACACACCCATCATCCCTAGACACACCCATTGGCCCTCTCCCCAGACACACCTATCATCCCTAGACACACCCATCGGCCCACTCCTAAGACACACCCATCATCCCTAGACACACCCATCGGCCCACTCCCCAGACACACCCATCGGCCCACTCCCCCACTCTCCCCAGACACACCCATCATCCCCTAGACACACCCATTGTCCTACGCCCCCGACACACCCATCACCACCAATCCCAGGACAACAGACAGGAAGTGCGGGTCGCTTCTTTACAAAGGTTGCATTTACAAGTTTATTTTCACAACAGATACAAATAGTAACTTTTTTTTCCCATTTCCTTGTTTTTATACATAATGCAAACGGTTCCTCCGCTGTGGGCGGAGCCGGAGAACCCATCCCCCGCCGTTTTATTGAATGAGATATCTAGGCCCTACATACATGTGGCTTGGATTTCATATAGAAAAGAAAAGTGTTAATAAGTCTATTAGCATATTTACACGTTATTAACATGCCGGGGAACAGTCCGTCCACGCGTGACCCAACACAACACGTTAGAAGCGGGGGAGGGGCAGCCAATATTCAGCCTAACAACAAATGAGGATAAAACAACCGCTAAAATAAAGATATAGTTAAGGCTTAAAAATGTGTATAAAAATAACAGTTACAATATACAGAGATACAGTCCGGGAGTATACGGAGGTCCCACGGGTCGGTATACGGAGGTCCCACGGGTCGGTATACGGAGGTCCCACGGGTCGGTATACGGAGGTACCAGTCGGGTCGTATACGGAGGTCCCACGGGTCGGTATACGGAGGTCCCACCGGTCGGTATACGGAGGTCCACGGGTCGGTATACGGAGGTCCCACGGGTCGGTATACGGAGATACAGTCGGGGTATACGGAGGTCCCACGGGTCGGTATACAGGAGGTCCCACGGGTATATACGGAGATCCACGGGTCGGTATACGGAGGTCCCACGGGTCGGTATACGGAGATACAGTCCGGGAGTATACGGAGGTCCCACGGGTCGGTATACGGAGGTACACGGGTCGGTATACGGAGGTCCCACGGGTCGGTATACGGAGATACAGTCCGGGAGTATACGGAGGTCCCACGGGTCGGTATACGGAGATACAGTCCGGGAGTATACGGAGGTCCCACGGGTCGGTATACGGAGGTCCCACGGGTCGGAGTATACGGAGGTCCCACGTCGGGAGTATACGGAGGTCCCACGGGTCGGTATACGGAGGTCCCACGGGTCGGTATACGGAGGTCCCACGGGTCGGTATACGGAGGTCCCACGGGTCGGTATACGGAGGTCCCACGGGTCGGTATACGGAGATACAGTCCGGAGTATACGGAGGTCCCACGGGGTCGGTATACGGAGGTCCCACGGGTCGGTATACGGAGGTCCCACGGAGGTATACGGAGTCCCACGGGTCGGAGTATACGGAGGTCCCACGGGTCGGTATACGGAGGTCCCACGGGTCGGTATACGGAGGTCCCACGGGTCGGTATACGGAGGTCCCACGGGTCGGTATGCGGAGGTCCCACGGGTCGGTATACGGAGATACACAGTCGGGAGTATACGGAGGTCCTACGGGTCAGTATATGGAGGTCCCACGGGTCGGTATACGGAGGTCCCACGGGTCGGTATACGGAGATACAGTCCGGGAGTATACGGAGGTCCCACAGGTCAGTATACGCAGGTCCCACGGGTCAGTATACGCAGGTCCCACGGGTCAGTATACAGAGGTCCCAGGGTCGGTATACGGAGATACAGTCCAGGAGTATACAGAGATACAGTCCGGGAGTATACGGAGGTCCCGAGGGTCAGTATACGGAGGTCCCGAGGGTCAGTATACGGAGGTCCTGAGGGTCGGTATACGGAGATACAGTCCAGGAGTATACAGAGATACAGTCCGGGAGTATACGGAGGTCCCGAGGGTCAGTATACGGAGGTCCCGAGGGTCAGTATACGGAGGTCCCGATGGTCAGTATACGGAGGTTCTGAGGGTCGGTATACAAAGATACAGTCCGGGAGTATACAGAGGTCCCACGGGTCAGTATACAGAGACAGCGTGCCTAGTGATTGGTCAGGAGGAGGGAACTTCCCTTTTCAATCCCCCAATGAGAAAGAGCGTCAACTGTTCAGTAACCGATCGATCGGAGGACCCCAGGGAGACTCCCAACCTCATCCTGTGACCCCAGAGACCCCCCAACCTCATCCTGTGACCCCAGAGAGACCCCCAACCTCATCCTGTGACCCCAGAGACCCCCCCAACCTCATCCTGAGACCCCCAACCTCATCCTGTGACCCCAGAGAGACCCCCAACCTCATCCTGTGACCCCAGAGAGACCCCCAACCTCATCCTGTGACCCCAGAGAGCCCCAACCTCATCCTCTGACTCCAGAGAGACCCCCAACCTCATTTGGTGACCCCAGAGAGACCCCCAACCTCATTCTGTGACTCCAGATAGGCCATCAATACGTACAATGCAACCTCAGCTAGACCGCTAGGCTACAATACTCTTGAAGTGACCCCATCTGGGCCCCCAATACATACGATGTGACCCCATCTGGGCCCCCAATACATACGATGTGACCCCATCATACGGTGACCCCATCTGGGCCCCCAATACATACGATGTGACCCCATCTGGGCCCCCAATACATACGATGTGACCCCATCTGGGCCCCCAATACATACGATGTGACCCCAGCTGGGCCCCCAATACATACGATGTGACCCCAGCTGGGCCCCCAATACATACGATGTGACCCCATGTGACCCCAGCTGGGCCCCCAATACATACGATGTGACCCCAGCTAGACTGCCCATAGTCCAATGAAGGAGGGAGGTGACTGGTTCTCACTTTGGGCATCTGACAGCCACACACACAGGAAAAGTTTAGTAACCCGTAGCAACCAACCAAAACTCAACTGTGATAGGACTACAGCAAAAAGGAACATCGATCAGTTGCTATGGGATACTGCATTTGCCTTTCATTGAATGGGTTGCCATGGATACGTGAACCCCAGAGGTGTTGGCACCCTATAGGATTACGTCCATAAGTTGGAGGACACGGGCCCTCACCAATCCCACAACAGAAGAGTCCTGACAACGAGCTCTCTATTCATGTGAACATGGCGGCCTCCGCCAACACGAGGACCAGGCCAACCCCACAACTGACTGCTGACCCCCCATCTTTGTCCTCAGAGAAGACTCCGGAAGAACTGAGACCCAGAGTACAATGTCCCGGGGCACCACCTGCTTGCCCTGCCATGTTTTCCTCACTTCCAGGTAGCAGCACAGTGCAGGATTCAATGAGGAGGTGACAGCAGCACACTGGGCATGTCACCTACAACTGAAGAGGTGTGTGAGACCGTCTGCAAAACATGACCTGTTAGTGGCCCCTGAACACCGGAGTTATAAACAAAGCCAGTTCCTATGAGTTACAGACATGGACAAGCCATGATCCCACCTTCCTGGAGTGTCCGTGTCCATGTGCTGACCAACCCGCCGGAGACATGCCAGATGTACGCACTGCAATGGACACGGAAGGGGAGAAGACAAAGCACTAGAGTGTCTGCTTCTGTACCTCAACAATGGCATGGATGCCGGCCCACCACTGGAGGTCCTTCCAGAGTCGGCTTTATTCCAACACCTGCGAGCCCCCAAAATAAACACAAGTACTGGCCCCCCCCCCGGCCCCTGCCATGCCTGACACACATGCAACAAGTGTTGGCGAGTCCTGAGTAATCAATTCGAATCCTCCCCCACCATGGAGACCCCAATCCCTGCCACCAATGGATACCCCAGATCCTCCGCACCAATGGAGACCACAGAGCCTCCCTCACCATGGATACCCCAGATCTTCCCCACCATGGAGACACTCCCCACCATGGAGACCCCAATCCCTTCCACCAATGGATACCACAGATCCTCCCACCAATGGAGACCCCCAATCCCTTCCACTAATGGGAAACCCCAGAGCCTCCCCCACCATGGATACCCCAGATCCTCCCCACCATGGAGATCCCAATCCCTTCCACCAATGGATACCACAGATCCTCCCCACCATGGATACCCCAAATCCTCCCCACCGTGGAGACCCCAGACCCTTCCCTGACATGGATACGCCAAGATCCTCCCCACCAATGGATACCCCAGATCCTCCCCAACATGGAGACCCCAGTTCCCCCCTACCATGGATACTCCTATTCTTCTCCACCAATGGATACCCCAGGTCCTCTCCCCCATAGATACCCCAGGTCCTCCCCATCAATTGAGACGCCAGATCCTCCCCACCAATGGATACCCCAGATCCCCACCAATGGATACCCCAGGTTTTCCCCAACATGGATACCCTACATCCTCTCCTCCAACGGATACTCCTTTTGCTCTCCATCAATGGGTACCCCAGTGGATGCTCTCTGCTATGGATACTCCAGTCCTTTCTACCAATGGATACCCTATCCCCAGTCTTTTCACTGATACCTCAATACTCCCCTCTCATAGATATCCCAAGTCCCCCCACTGATGGATACTCTAAATCATGTGCTATTCTCCAGCAGGGTTCCGTGGAGCCCCTAGGGTTCCTCCAGAGCTTCCTAGCGAGTCCTTGAGCTGTCGATGATAGGCCTCCCATCTGATGATGCCTGCATAGCTCCAGGACCAACACATTTGGCAAAGTCAGCAGCATGATCTAAATTCTAATTTTTAGCCATTTGTAAGGGTGGAATTCTGGCCATCACTGCATGGGCTGCATTCTTCCTGTGGACCATCAATGTAAAGGGCATTTTTGCCATTGGTAGCAAGGGTTTTTTCCCAAGACCTGAAAATTATTTTATGGATTCCCCTGGGGTAAACAGTTGAGGAAAAACTGCCTTTCCACCAATGGACACCCCAGATCCTCTCCTCCAATGGACACCCCAGATCCTCTCCTCCAATGGACACCCCAGATCCTCTCCTCCAATGGACACCCCAGATCTTCTCCTAAAATGGACACCCCAGATCTTCTCCTAAAATGGACACCCCAGATCCTCTCCTCCAATGGACACCCCAGATCCTCTCCTCCAATGGACACCCCAGATCCTCTCCTCCAATGGACACCCCAGATCTTCTCCTAAAATGGACACCCCAGATCCTCTCCTCAAATTGACACCCCAGATCCTCACCAATATTGGGATCCTCTCCACCAATACCCCGATCCCCTCCACTAACAAATACCTCGATCCCTCTAGCAATATATACTCTGATCCTCCCCTTCGATGTATACTTTACAACTTCCACCTCTCAAATGAAACGTGATTTATGCAGAAGGAAAAGAACAATTCATTGTGGTCTCTGTTTAATAGGAAAAACCCATTAGTGTATTCCTGTGTTGTCCGGTGTGGGTATTTCCTCAGAATATCACTGACTATGATTGACCAGCAGAGGGAGACAGAGCCCCTTGTTCCCAGGATAAGGGCTGACATGTCCATGGGGTAGATCGTCCTTGTCCCGTCCTACTATGGAGGGAACGATTTCACTGTGCATTGTACAAGGATGATTCTATGGGCCATTCAAGATAATCTGCTCTGTGACGACTTCCTATCATTGTAATGGCCACCTCAGGGAATGGAGATCTCTGATTGGTGTCTGCTCAGAGCTCACCACCCCAAAGTGTGTTCCCCATACACAGAAGATGACTGCCCAAAGATCAGATGTATCCAAGGACTTGGATCTATATCACCCAGCAGAACACACACCATGGGACCACCATGGAGGAGGAAGGCAGGACAAGGTGGGATATAATATGTTCCTAGTCTCTATCAGGACAAGGTGTGAGGAACCCCAACTTCTGATTTACACTCCGCCCACAAGAAAGACAATCTCACCTAGGCCAACACTGTCCATGGCAAGGGAGAGGAACCCCCCCTTCTCATCTAGGCCAACACTGTCCACGGCCAGGGAGAGGAACCCCACCTTCTCATCTAGGCCAACACTGTCCATAGCCAGGGAATGGAGCCCCACCTTCTCATCTAGGCCAACACTGTCCACAGCCAGGGAATGGAGCCCCACCTTCTCATCTAGGCCAACACTGTCCACAGCCAGGGAATGGAGCCCCACCTTCTCATCTAGGCCAATACTGTCCATGGCCAGGGAGACGAACCCCCCCTTCTCATCTAGGCCAACACTGTCCACAACCAGGGAGAGGAACCCCACCTTCTCATCTAGGCCAACACTGTCCACAGCCAGGGAATGGATACCCACCTTCTCATCTAGGCCAACACTGTCCATGGCCATAGAGAGGAACCCCACCTTCTAATCTAGGTCAAGACTGTCCACAGCCAGAGAATGGGACCTCACCTCATCTAGTCCAACACTGTCCACAGCCAGGGAGAGGAACCCCACCTTCTCATCTAGGCCAAAACTCCCCTCCTCCAAAGCCAGATAGAGGTAGACCTTACCTCTTTATCAGGTCTACACTGTGCTTGCAGCCAGGGAGAGGAAGGCAACCTCCTCATGTGGACCAACACTCCACCCACAGAAGAATCCTACTGTCTTTATCTTAGCTGACACGCCACCCCTAGACAAGTAGTGGAACTGTGCCTCCTCCTGACACGGAGGGAAACCCCGCCTCCTCATCTGGACCAAGACTCCATCCACAGAAGAATCCTACCCTCCTCCTCTAGACTGACACACCACCCCCAGACAAGTAGAGGAACCATACCTCCTCCTGACACGGAGGGAAACCCCGCCTCCTCATCTGGACCAAGACTCCATCCACAGAAGAATCCTACCCTCCTCCTCTAGACTGACACACCACCCCCAGACAAGTAGAGGAACCATACCTCCTCCTGACACGGAGGGAAACCCCGCCTCCTCATCTGGACCAAGACTCCATCCACAGAAGAATCCTACCCTCCTCCTCTAGACTGACACACCACCCCCAGACAAGTAGAGGAACCATACCTCCTCCTGACACGGAGGGAAACCCCGCCTCCTCATCTGGACCAAGACTCCATCCACAGAAGAATCCTACCCTCCTCCTCTAGACTGACACACCACCCCCAGACAAGTAGAGGAACCATACCTCCTCCTGACACGGAGGGAAACCCCGCCTCCTCCTGGACCAAGACTCCATCCACAGAAGAATCCTACCCTCCTCCTCTAGACTGACACACCACCCCCAGACAAGTAGAGGAACCATACCTCCTCCTGAAACAGAGGGAAACCCCGCCTCCTCCTGACACAGAGGGAAACCCCCCTCCTCCTGACAGAGGGAAACCCCACCTCCTCCTGACACAGAGGGAAACCCCACCTCCTCATCTAGGCAGCCGCTCTGTCTCCATCCCAGGATGGGTGCTGAATTCTGCAGCATTTTGATTAAAAATCAGCAAATACAGTTCAAACACGTTCACTGCTCACTTTGCTTTGTTTTAGCAGCACCAAATTCTTGGCCAATAAATAGGGTTTTATTTTTTTCTTGTGTGTAAAAAAAAAAAAAAAAAAAAAAAAAGAATAAAAAAGTTAAAAGACGAACCAATATAAAATGCGAGAGATTCAAAGTGCTAGGCTGGGGACTTCGCATGTCACCAAGAATATTTGGGTAAAATCAATGTACACTTAGAGCAGCCAATCAGAATCTCACTAACATCAAAATTCAGCCAATCCAGGATCATTCCAAGTGGCAGCCAATCAGAAGCTCTTTTGTTTTTACTCCATGGTAAAGTCCAGGTAAACGCTTGTATGACACAACAGTTTGGCCAGGTAAGGTTTGTAATCCCAAGGGCAACCAAGAGGTAAACTCCATGTGTCCATAGAGAGGTGAAATGTAGAAGGTCCTCAGCAGCTGCCATAAGAGTCGGTCACTGACAAGGCAAACGGTTGTCAGGGAAGCCAAGTGCATGACAGTCGCTCCAGAGAAACATGAAGAAAGAAGGAGCCAGTCCAGGCCCCAGATCCATCCCAACAAGGTAGCTGCTTCCACAGAAAGAGGAGAAACGTGGGCTGCAGCCCAGGCCGCCATTGGCATTTGGTCACCTGTTCCTGGGCTGGGATTCCTCCTCTCCCTTTATATGAGGGAAATTCTAACCGGAATGCCAGGAGAATCGTTCCTCTGAGGAGAATGGTGGTTGACCAGGTGCTCCACCACGGTGTGCTTGGACATATGCTTCATCAAATAGGTCTCCTGCAAGGAGAGAAAAGGTAGGGAGTGATCCACACGGGGCGAGAAGCCCAGCATTGTATGGTTAGGGGGCCCTCAGCATGCGGTGTGAGGATACAGGGGGGATGGGTACAATGGCTGCACTTACCGAGGTGTATGCTCTCCCGCACATACTGCAGCAATACGCCTTGGCGTGTTTCACCGCGTGAGCCGAGAGGTGGATCTGCAGCGAGGCGGAGTCCGTGTACGCTCGGTAACAGTTAGGACACTTGTAGGGTTTGTCTTTATTGTGCTGTCGCTGGTGAGACTGCGGAGTGGAAGGTGGTACGTTATACAGAGACCTCCTCATAGAAGGACCACCAATACAGGGCTGTCTGCTGCTCACCCAACAATCCCAGGCCTGGCCTAATACAGGCACACCCTAATGCCTACAATGGGGCAGCACAGTGGCTCAGTGGTCAGCTCTTCCACCTGGCAGCACAGTGGCTCAGTGGTCAGCTCTTCCACCTGGCAGCACAGTGGCTCAGTGGTCAGCTCTTCCACCTGGCAGCACAGCACAGTGGTCAGCTCTTCCACCTGGCAGCACAGTGGTCAGCTCTTCCACCTGGCAGCACAGTGGTCAGCTCTTCCACCTGGCAGCACAGTGGCTCAGTGGTCAGCTCTTCCACCTGGCAGCACAGTGGCTCAGTGGTCAGCTCTTCCACCTGGCAGCACAGTGGTCAGCTCTTCCACCTTGCAGCACAGTGGTCAGCTCTTTTACCTGGCAGCACAGTGGCTCAGCGGTTAGCTCTTCCACCAGGCAGCACAGTGGCTCAGCTCTTCCACCTGGCAGCACAGTGGCTCAGCGGTTAGCTCTTCCACCAGGCAGCACAGTGGCTCAGTGGTCAGCTCTTCTACCTGGCAGCACAGTGGCTCAGTGGTCAGCTCTTCCACCTGGCAGCACAGTGGCTCAGTGGTCAGCTCTTCCACTTGGCAGCACAGTGGCTCAGTGGTCAGCTCTTCCACCTGGCAGCACAGTGGCTCAGTGGTCAGCTCTTCCACCTGGCAGCACAGTGGCTCAGTGGTCAGCTCTTCCACCTGGCAGCACAGTGGCTCAGTGTTCAGCTCTTCCACCTGGCAGCACAGTGGCTCAGCGGTCAGCTCTTCCACCTGGCAGCACAGTGGCTCAGTGGTCAGCTCTTCCACCTGGCAGCACAGTGGTCAGCTCTTCCACCTGGCAGCACAGTGGTCAGCTCTTCCACCTGGCAGCACAGTGGCTCAGTGGTCAGCTCTTCCACCTGGCAGCACAGTGGCTCAGTGTTCAGCTCTTCCACCTGGCAGCACAGTGGCTCAGTGGTCAGTTCTTCCACCTGGCAGCACAGTGGCTCAGCGGTTAGCTCTTCCACCTGGCAGCACAGTGGCTCAGTGTTCAGCTCTTCCACCTGGCAGCACAGTGGCTCAGTGGTCAGTTCTTCCAACTGGCAGCACAGTGGCTCAGCGGTTAGCTCTTCCACCTGGCAGCACAGTGGCTCAGCGGTTAGCTCTTCCACCTGGCAGCACAGTGGCTCAGTGTTCAGCTCTTCCACCTGGCAGCACAGTGGCTCAGCGGTCAGCTCTTTTACCTGGCAGCACAGTGGCTCAGCGGTTAGCTCTTCCACCAGGCAGCACAGTGGCTCAGCTCTTCCACCTGGCAGCACAGTGGCTCAGCGGTTAGCTCTTCCACCAGGCAGCACAGTGGCTCAGTGGTCAGCTCTTCTACCTGGCAGCACAGTGGCTCAGTGGTCAGCTCTTCCACCTGGCAGCACAGTGGCTCAGTGGTCAGCTCTTCCACTTGGCAGCACAGTGGCTCAGTGGTCAGCTCTTCCACCTGGCAGCACAGTGGCTCAGTGGGTCAGCTCTTCCACCTGGCAGCACAGTGGCTCAGTGGTCAGCTCTTCCACCTGGCAGCACAGTGGCTCAGCGGTCAGCTCTTCCACCTGGCAAGCACAGTGGCTCAGTGGTCAGCTCTTCTACCTGGCAGCACTAGGAGTCATTGGGTCAAATCCCAACCACGGCACCACTTGCCTGGAGTGTCCATGTTCTCCCTGTGCCTGTGTGGGTTTCCTCCGGGTACTCCGGTTACCTCCCACACTCCAAAGACATTGTGGGAGGTTAACTGGCTCTGGTCTGCATTGTCCCTAGTATGTGTATGAATGTGAGTTAGGGACTTTAGACTGTACGCTCCTCGGGGGCGGGGCCTGATGTGAATGTACAATATATATGTAAATTGATGGCGCGATGTAAGTACCTGAAATAAATAAACCCGCCTCCACAACCACTTCCTATCGCACACAATATGGCCGACCCCCGTCCCTTATACAATGACTGCACAACTAGTCCATACAGAACACAGGGAGAACACAGGGGAACGTTCTGATATTTTCCCCCCGTTCCAATCAAACCCAAGGGAGGAATGAATGGAGAAAGCATGATTAGAGGGCCACTGACCTGCAGATTGGAGAGCTGGGTGAACGCCTTCTCACAGCCGGGCTGCGGGCACTTGTAAGGCCGGTCACCGGTATGAATCCTGAAAAACATAAACCCGACTGTAAGCCATACAATCTGCGCACACACCGAGAACACGCAATGTACGGGACTCCGCGGAGATCACGTAAATGACACGTTGGGTCCATCTCCTGGAGGTCATTGAGGGACACAGGAAGTCAGCTACGGTCAGGCTATACTGCTGCCTGCAGGAGGATTGGACAAACAGAGAAATCAGCCCCAAGTATGACCCTCCTGTAACCAGCCTCATATGTAAAGCGGTACCAAGGGCATGAAGACTTAGGGCCCGTGTCCCCCAATCAGCCCCAAGTATGACCCTCCTGTAACCAGCACGCCTCATGTGGTACCAAGGGCATGAAGACTTAGGGCCCGTGTCCCCCAATCAGCCCCAAGTATGACCCTCCTGTAACCAGCACGCCTCATGTGGTACCAAGGGCATGAAGACTTAGGGCCCGTGTCCCCCAATCAGCCCCAAGTATGACCCCTCCTGTAACCAGCACGCCTCATGTAAAGCGTACCAAGGGCATGAAGACTTAGGGCCCGTGTCCCCCAATCAGCCCCAAGTATGACCCTCCTGTAACCAGCCTCATATGTAAAGCGGTACCAAGGGCATGAAGACTTAGGGCCCGTGTCCCCCAATCAGCCCCAAGTATGACCCTCCTGTAACCAGCCTCATATGTAAAGCGGTACCAAGGGCATGAAGACTTAGGGCCCGTGTCCCCCAATCAGCCCCAAGTATGACCCTCCTGTAACCAGCCTCATATGTAAAGCGTACCAAGGGCATGAAGACTTAGGGCCCGTGTCCCCCAATCAGCCCCAAGTATGACCCCTCCTGTAACCAGCACGCCTCATGTGGTACCAAGGGCATGAAGACTTAGGGCCCGTGTCCCCCAATCAGCCCCAAGTATGACCCCTCCTGTAACCAGCACGCCTCATGCGCGGTACCAAGGGCAGGAACAAAGACTTAGGGCCCGTGTCCCCCAATCAGCCCCAAGTATGACCCCTCCTGTAACCAGCACGCCTCATGCGGTACCAAGGGCATGAAGACTTAGGGCCCGTGTCCCCCAATCGGCTCCAACAAATGGATCTTACTCTGAAATACTCTGTCATCCATGAAAGGACGCCGGAATCCAGATCCAGCCATAAAGTCCAACATCAGATCACACCTACTGTATGGACTGCAATGTGATATTGTACACCCTGGGGGCCGGTCCTCACATACCTGGTGTGCTGCTGGAGATGAGAGAGCTGGCGGAAGGATTTCTCGCAGTACGAGCAGTGATAGGGCTTGACACCGAGGTGGATGCGCAGATGCTGGGCTAGATATGAAGCGTTGGCAAACGATTTGGAACAATGAGGACACTTGTGGGGTTTGGCCTCCGTGTGGGACTTGGAGTGAATCTGCATCTCCGACTTGGTGAAGAAGGTCAGAGGGCAAACCTTACACCTGAAAGAAGGATGACAACTACATGTATACATACGTGATACAGCAAGACGGAGACACGCAAACATGGGCTGCCACATGACACGCCACTAGGACTGCCACATGACACGCCACTAGGACTGCCACATGACACTCCACTAGGACTGCCACATGACACGCCACTAGGACTGCCACATGACACGCCACTAGGACTGCCACATGACACGCCACTAGGACTGCCACATGACACGTCACTAGGACTGCCACATGACACGCCACTAGGACTGCGACATGACACGCCACTGGACTGCCACATGACACGCCACTAGGACTGCCACATGACACGCCACTAGGACTGCCACATGACACGCCACTAGGACTGCCACATGACACGCCACTAGGACTGCCACATGACACGCCACTAGGACTGCCACGACACGCCACTAGGACTGCCACATGACACGCCACTAGAACTGCGACATGACACGCCACTAGGTCTGCGACATGACACGCCACTAGGACTGCCACATGACACGCCACTAGGACTGCCACATGACACGCCACTAGGACTGCCACATGACACGCCACTAGGACTGCCACATGACACGCCACTAGGACTGCCACATGACACGCCACTAGGACTGCCACATGACACGCCACTAGGACTGCCACGACACGCCACTAGGACTGCCACATGACACGCCACTAGAACTGCGACATGACACGCCACTAGGACTGCGACATGACACGCCACTAGGACTGCCACATGACACGCCACTAGGACTGCCACATGACACGCCACTGGACTGCCACATGACACGCCACTAGGACTGCCACATGACACGCCACTAGGACTGCCACATGACACGCCACTAGGACTGCCCATCCCTGGCCAGGGGAGAGGACTACAAGATGACAGACCACGATGACAACCTATCCCAGGCCACTATGACAACCCATCCCAGGCCACTATGACAACCCATCCCAGGCCGGAGGAGAGGACTGCGAGATGACAGGCCACTATGACAACCCATCCCAGGCCACTATGACAACCCATCCCAGGCCACTATGACAACCCATCCCAGGCCGGGGAGAGGACTGCGAGATGACAGGCCACTATGACAACCCATCCCAGGCCGGGGGAGAGGACTCGAGATGACAGGCCACTATGACAACCCATCCCAGGCCGGAGGAGAGGACTGCGAGATGACAGGCCACTATGACAACCCATCCCAGTACGGGGGAGAGGACTCGAGATGACAGGCCACTATGACAACCCATCCCAGGCCGGAGGAGAGGACTGCGAGATGACAGGCCACTATGACAACCCATCCCAGGCCGGGGGAGAGAGGACTGCGAGATGACAGGCCACTATGACAACCCATCCCAGGCCACTATGACAACCCATCCCAGGCCACTATGACAACCCATCCCAGGCCGGGGGAGAGGACTGCGAGATGACAGGCCACTATGACAACCCATCCCAGGCCGGGGGAGAGGACTCGAGATGACAGGCCACTATGACAACCCATCCCAGGCCGGAGGAGAGGACTGCGAGATGACAGGCCACTATGACAACCCATCCCAGGCTGGGGGAGAGGACTCGAGATGACAGGCCACTATGACAACCCATCCCAGGCTGGGGGAGAGGACTCGAGATGACAGGCCACTATGACAACCCATCCCAGGCCACTATGACAACCCATCCCAGGCCGGAGGAGAGGACTGCGAGATGACAGGCCACTATGACAACCCACAGAATTCATGGAAAGTAGTAGATGACCTCAGAAGATCCCACAACACAGACCTCCTGACATAGAGATCCTCATTCTAGCAGATGATCAGAGTGGGGAGATCCACAGACAACAAACCCTCCTCCATCACCCAGGTCACACAATCGCCTTCCCCCATGAGGACATCTCTGTGACCGGTTCTCCTCACCTGTAGGTCTTGCCCTCTTTTCCAATATCTCCTGAAGCCAGGATGGGGTAGGGGACGACAAGCACTGGATGTCCGGGTGGGTTCTCCGCCTTGATTTTCTTGCGCCCCCTCTCAGGTTTGGGGGGTCCCAGCAGGCTGTGCCCTTGGATGGTCTTTATGGAGTCCAGGAGTGGTGGGCTGGTGATTCCTGAGATGAGGGTCGGGGAGGTGGCGATAAGCCGGGTCTGGCTATTGGAAGTTGGAGTGGAGGGAGTGCCGCTGCTGGTACCGGTGCTGGATTCTGAAGTGCTGATGATTGTGCGGGACGATGATAGGCCCAACCCTGGAAAACAAGAGAACGTAGTCAAGGATGCAGGAGTCAGAGGATCAGACAATGATGTGGTTTGGGGTCTCCTGGATGACAATACGTAGGTCTGTGTTTGTTGTTGTGTATTGTCATCTGTTAATCCAGAAAAAGAAAACTACTCAGAGGGGACAGCCGGGACTACTGAAAGAACGGGGTGAGGGAGACACCATGGTCAGGGGTCACCATTCACTGACACCAGGCTGGAGCCACGGGCTCTGTGTATAAAGTGACTGCCGTACCAAAACATTGGCACTCCAAGGGCCCGGCCACACTCCAAGGGCCCGGCCACACTCCAAGGGCCCGGCCACACTCCAAGGGCCCGGCCACACTCCAAGGGCCCGGCCACACTCCAAGGGCCTACCGCTTCAACATGCTTTGTTCATGCTTCAGTGAAGCTTTAAAGAAGCTTGGCAAATGCCCGGGGTGTGGTGATCCTCTATTTGTTTTAAAGGGGCCGAGTAGTACTCTCAGCTTATTAATACAGTCATTCAGCACATCTTCCTGCTCAATACCCCCAGCTCTGCTGATCCCCTGCTCAGTAGTACCCCCAGCTCTGCTGATCCCCTGCTCAGTAGTACCCCCAGCTCTGCTGATCCCCCACTCAGTAGTACCCCCAGTGCTGCTGATCCCCCACACAGTAGTACCCCCAGCTCTGCAGATCCCCCGCACAGTAGTACCCCCAGCTCTGCAGATCCCCCGCTCAGTAGTAACCCCCAGCTCTGCTGATCCCCTGCTCAGTAGTACCCTCAGCTCTGCTGATCCCCCGCTCAGTAGTACCCCCAGCTCTTCTGATCCCCCGCTCAGTAGTACCCCCAGCTCTTCTGATCCCCCACTCAGTAGTACCCCCAGCTTACTAATAGTCATTCAGAGCATCGTCTTGCTCAGTAGTACGCCCCCACTCAGTAGTACCCCCAGCTTACTAATAGTCATTCAGCGCATCGTCCTGCTCAGTAGTACCCTCAGCTCTGGTGATCCCCCCACTCAGTAGTACCCTCAGCTCTGCTGATCCCCTGCTCAGTAGTACCCTCAGCTCTGCTCTGCTGATCCCCTGCTCAGTAGTACCCCCAGCTCTTCTGATCCCCCGCTCAGTAGTACCCCCAGCTTACTAATAGTCATTCAGCGCATCGTCTTGCTCAGTAGTACCCTCAGCTCTGGTGATCCCCTACTCAGTAGTAACCCCCAGCTCTGCTGATCCCCCAATGCCAAATTATGAGGCAAGTGTAAACGAAGCCAGATCTGTTATGCCATCACCAAACATGTGACAACATGGAAGATGAGCGCGTGATCTGTAGAATCTGGGTACAGTGGCATGTTTCTTTGAACTGTCCCCTCCCAGCTACACCCTATGATGCTTGCAGGTCCCCCCCATGGTAGGATTAGACCCTTATACACCACAAGAAGGACAGAGATCACCAGTTCCCCCATCCCTGTGTATACCTGTGACAGAGCTGGTGGCAGGTCGGGCGTGCAGCGCCACATCTGGCTGAGGAACAGCTTGTGGATGCAGTCCTGGGATTTGCTGCAGCTTCTGTAGAGACATGACAGACTGGCTGGTCTCCGCTGGCGAGTGAGGGATGAGCAGAGGTTGCTGCGAAGGGACGGAAGTAGGAGGCAGGTGAGGAGGTCGGATCTTTTCCGCCATCAGTTGTTCCTTGATCTTATTGATTAACACCAGGTTATCCAACTATACAAAGAGCAGAAGTGTTAGTGTGACGGGGGAGGAGGCGGGATCGTCACATGGCTACACATACACAGGAAGGACCAGACTCCCAGAGGGAAGGACAAGGACTGAGCCCAGGAACAGGATGGCCGCCATCTACCACAGTGTGGCTGGGATGTCTACAACTGATGATTAACAGGGTCATCTACCTGCCACATGTGAGGTCATCCAATCATCAGAGGGGAGAACTCCGACGGCCTGTACAGCCCCACAGACCCAATCAAATGCATTCCTACCTGCCAGCCAAAGGCTGAATCCGGCTCATTGATTTGGGGTAAAATGGACCGAGTCTGCCCCCACCTCACAAATACTGCTTCCTGGGTCAGAACATTCATTCCAAGACTTCATACAGCTGCCCCACCACAACCGCTGACTGCATGGAGGACGCAGCACCCCCACCCCCCAGACAGACTGACCGCATGGTGGATGGAGCACCCCCCACACAGACCAACCACATAGTGGATGCAGCACCCCCCTCTCACAAACTGACAGCATGTTGGATGCAGCACCCCCCACCCCCCCGCAGACCGACTGCATGTTGGATGCAGCACCCCCCACAGACCGACTGCATGGTGGATGCAGCACCCCCTACATAGACCAACTGCATGGTGGATGCAGCACCCCCCCATATAGACGGACTGCATGGTGGATGCAGCACCCCCCCATATAGACGGACTGCATGGTGGATGCAGCACCCCTCCATATAGACGGACTGCATGGTGGATGCAGCACCCCTTACACAGACCGATTGCATGGTGGATGCAGCACCCCCCCATATAGACGGACTGCATGGTGGATGCAGCACCCCCCCATATAGACGGACTGCATGGTGGATGCAGCACCCCCCCATATAGACGGACTGCATGGTGGATGCAGCACCCCTTACACAGACCGATTGCATGGTGGATGCAGCACCCCCCCCCATATAGACGGACTGCATGGTGGATGCAGCACCCCCCCATATAGACGGACTGCATGGTGGATGCAGCACCCCTTACACAGACCGATTGCATGGTGGATGCAGCATCTGCCCATATAGACCAACTATATGGTAGATGCAGCACCCCCTACATAGACCAACTGCATGGTGGATGCAGCACCGCCCCACACACATAAACCGACTGCATGTTGGATGCACCAGCCCCTACACAGACCGACTGCATGGTGGATGCAGCAACCCTTACATAGACCCACCGTATGGTGGATGCAGCACTCCACACACACAGACTGACTGCATGGTGGATGCAGCACCCCACACACACACACACACACACACAGACAGACGACTGCATGGTGGATGCAGCGCCCTCTACACGGACGGACTGCATGGTGGATGCAGCACCCCCTACACAGATTCACCGTATGGTGGATGCAGCACCCCACACACACAGACTGCATGGTGGATGCAGCACCCCTTACATAGACCGACTGCATGGTGGTTGCAGCAACCCTTACATAGACCCACTGTATGGTGGATGCAGCACCCCCTACACAGGCCGACAGCATGGTGGATGCAGCACCCCACACACAGACGACTGCATGGTGGATGCAGCGCCCTCTACACGGACGGACTGCATGGTGGATGCAGCACCCCACACACAGACCGACTGCATGGTGGATGCAGCGCCCCCTACACAGACCGACTGCATGGTGGATGCAGCACCCTCTACACAGACTGACTGCATGGTGGATGCAGCGCCCTCTACACAGACTGACTGCATGGTGGATGCAGCGCCCCCTACACAGACCGACTGCATGGTGGATGCAGCACCCTCTACACAGACTGACTGCATGGTGGATGCAGCACCCTCTACACAGACTGACTGCATGGTGGATGCAGCACTCCACACACAGACCGACTGCACGGTAGATGCAGCACCCTCTACACAGACCGACTGCATGGTGGATGCAGCACCCCCTACACAGGCCAACTGCATGGACCACTGACAATGTGAAAGATACAAAAAAGCATGTGAATGATTATCTCCTCTGACCCCCCGCAATACAAAGAGCGCTCTAAACACACATGTGAGCCTCTGCACTGCGCTCATTTCATATCCTATGTGACAAATCAATAAATGATCTCATATAAAATACAAATATATGAACAGTAAATGTGTCCACAATCTCCACGCATGGCGAGCCTTTGAGCGCGCTCACACTTTACACGCTGAGTTCCATTCCAGCTCAAAGTTTAGGACCCGCTTTTGTAGCGCCATTCAGGCAGATCGCTGTGTTTTGGAGTATTAATCGCACAGCATTTCATCGGTGCCCAAAAAACACACAATATGGCGTTCTGCTGTGCGTTTATCGCGGGTTCCAGTTTCTATGTCCATACAGCAGCAAGTGATGTCACTGATGATACCATTTCCTATAGGCTAATATAGATTGTAAGCTCCCAGGATCAGGGCCCTCCGTTTCCTCTTGTACCAAACTGTGTTGTAACTGTAATGTCTGCCTTCATTTTGTACAGCGCTGCGCACACTGTTGGCGCCATATAAATCCTGCATAATAATAAAAACACCTCAAACTGTAACAAAAAGCCAAAAAACGTGCATAAAAAATGTGCTAAAAAATGTGCAAACCTGCAAGGCAGCCTAAACTACAACAAAGACGTGAGAATGAAATCATAGAGAGCAGCAAAGTGTCTGCCAGGTCAGAGACGTCCCGACACACAGCGGGCTGATGGTCCTCAGGGGAATGTTCTGTAGAAGGTCAGACTGACCCATTCCCACCGAGGAGATGGCCGACCTCTCCGTCCTCCTCCACGCTGTGCGTCTCTCCGTCCTCCTCCACGCTGTGCGTCTCTCGCCGTCCTCCTCCACGTTATGCGTCTCTCGCCGTCCTCCTCCACGCTATGCGTCTCTCGCCGTCCTCCTCCACGCTGTGCGTCTCTCTCCGTCCTCCTCCACGCTGTGCGTCTCTCGCCGTCCTCCTCCACGCTATGCGTCTCTCGCCGTCCTCCTCCACGCTATGCGTCTCTCGCCGTCCTCCTCCACGCTATGCGTCTCTCGCCGTCCTCCTCCACGCTATGCGTCTCTCTCCGTCCTCCTCCACGCTATGCGTCTCTCTCCGTCCTCCTCCACGCTATGCGTCTCTCTCCGTCCTCCTCCACGCTGTGCGTCTCTCGCCGTCCTCCTCCTCCACGCTATGCGTCTCTCGCCGTCCTCCTCCACGCTGTGCGTCTCTCTCCGTCCTCCTCCACGCTATGCGTCTCTCGCCGTCCTCCTCCACGCTATGCGTCTCTCGCCGTCCTCCTCCACGCTATGCGTCTCTCTCGCCGTCCTCCTCCACGCTGTGCGTCTCTCGCCGTCCTCCTCCACGCTATGCGTCTCTCGCCGTCCTCCTCCACGTTATGCGTCTCTCTCCGTCCTCCTCCACGCTATGCGTCTCTCGCCGTCCTCCTCCACGCTACGCGTCTCTCTCCATCCTCCTCCACGCTATGCGTCTCTCGCCGTCCTCCTCCACGCTATGCGTCTCTCTCCGTCCTCCTCCACGCTATGCGTCTCTCTCCGTCCTCCTCCACGCTATGCGTCTCTCTGCTCTACTTCTCGGTCTCCATACAACCCACCACCGGCCTGGCCAGCCTACAATCAGCCTGGAAGCACTTTGGGGGAGTCTCGGGTGGGGGACTGAACAGCTCTGCAGTATCTGTGGTGACTTCAGACCTATACAGGTGTCCACTACCGGATGGGGCGAGCTCTATGACCACCAAAACCACGGGAAAATAGCTGCAACTAAGGCGTGAACTTCACAATACACCGAATTGTCAGTGGTGACTTATACCGAGTATTGATCGATGCCAAACCAGAACAAAGACATCCACCAACGAGAGCAATCAGAGTGACACCAATGAGTTCTCTCCATTCTCCTGACCATTCAAATGCCTTCAAATGAAAAGGAAAAAAAAAAAAAGGGACAACACCCCACTGTCCACCATCTGTCATCAGAAATATTATATAATGGGGGGGGGGTAAGGCTGTACATGTGTCTGTGATCACACCTCTCATCTCCCCAGACCAATAGGTAGTGGCTGTGATTAGGGACTGTGTCTCTGCCCTGATTGGTGTTCACGCTCGGCGGTTGTCTGACTGGCTGAGGACATCTGTAGTGAGAGCTCCCGCCGTGTCCCCGGGACTGACACCTCTTCAGAAGAGTCCTGCACTCCACCATCTCCCTCACTCGGCTTGCTCAGCCACCCACCACGTGTGACAACATGATACATAAGATGAGGCGACTCCTGCCGCAGGATGTACAGTCGCAGGAAGCTGCATCAAAGCAAAGGTTAAAGGTCATTCAACAAGTCTCACCTGGCTGGGCATCGCTGGAGGTGGAGGCCAAAAATAGGGATTGTTAAAGCGCGGTTCGGCCATCCTGCAAGAAGGAAAGAGAGTTATGGCTCTGGCGGGAGGATTATGAGCGTCATGTACAGGAATGAGGCACTAGAAGCCGGCTAACATATCATAATACTGGCATTTCATTGTATCAAACTGAGAGCGGCCGGCTGGTGCTCATCTGTCAGCACACAGGCCGAGCAGAAGACCCGGGTCATCCAATGGACTGACTATACCCGGGGGAGACATACAGAGGTGGAGGAGCAAATCTAAAGGTCCATCAGTTCCAACACAGCCACCAGCAACGCTAGGAGAAGCATCGAGGCCTACAGGCCTGGGGAGAGAAGACTGCGCTCAGCAGACCACCATCTTCATGACACAAACCATACACAATGCCGGAAGCACCAACATCTATCACAGAGCACATGGAGGGCCCTGGGAGCCCCAACAGCTTGCAATCTAAACACACACTATAAGATGCAGAAAGTCCAGGCTCTGATGAAGACGGATGGTTGGAGAAGCAGCACATGTGCCAGCAAAGCATGCAATGTGTTCAGTCTGAGGAGACCAAGTTCTACTGAGAGCTCCATGTCTATGTTGTCACTCCATCTATGATACATTGTACACGGAACGTAGATATGCTGAGCACAATGGTCAACCAGGAGAAGAGCCGGGCCATACACCCCCCCACCAAGACTGAGGACAGCCGGGCAAAACACACCCCCACCAAGACTGAGGACAGCCGGGCAAAACACCTCCCCACCAAGACTGAGGAGGAGAGCCGGGCAAAACACACACCCCCACCAAGACTGAGGAGAGCCGGGCAAAACACCTCCCCACAAAACACACCCCCACCAAGACTGAGGACAGCCGGCAAAACACCTCCCCACCAAAACTGAGGAGAGCCGGGCAAAACACACCCCCACCAAGACTGAGGACAGCCGGGCAAAACACACCCCCACCAAGACTGAGGAGAGCCGAGACATACAAAACACCGGCCCCCACCAAGACTGGAAAAGGGCCGGCCCATCCACACCACCACCACCAAGACTGAGGATAGCCGGGTACCAAACACACACCCCCACCAAGACTGAGGACAGCCGGGCAAAACACACCCCCACCAAGACTGAGGAGGACAGCCGGCAAAACACACCCCCACCAAGACTGAGGACAGCCGAGACATACACACCCCCACCAAGACTGGAAAAGGGCCGGCCCATCCACAACCCACCAAGACTTGAGGACACTACCAAGACAGAGGAGAGACGGGCCATACAGACCACCACCAAGACTGAGGAGACAGGGAGAGCGGCCCATACACACCCCCACCAAGACTGAGAGGAGAGCCGGGCAATACACACACCCCACCAAGACTGAGGAGAGCCGGGCAATACACACCCCCACCAAGACTGAGGAGAGCCGGCCATACACACCCCACCAAGACTGAGGAGAGCCGGGCAATACACAACCCCACCAAGACTGAGGAGAGCCGGGGAGAGCCCAATACACACCCTACCAAGACTGAGGAGAGCCGGGCCATACACACCACTACCAAGACTGAGGAGAGAGCCGGCCCATACACATCACTACCAAGACTAAGGAAAGCTGGGGCCATACACACCCCCCACCAAGACTGAGACCAAGACTAGGAAAGCCCATACACACCCCACCAAGACTGGGCCCCCATACACACCACCACCAAGACGGAGGAAAGCTAGGCCATACACACCACTACCAAGACTGGAGGAGAGCCGGGCCCATACACACCACACACCACTACCAAGACTGAGGAGAGCCGGCCATACACACCACTACCAAGACTGAGGAGAGCCGGGCCATACACACCACTACCAAGACTGAGGAGAGCCCATACACACCACTACCAAGACTGAGGAGAGCCGGGCCATACACACCACTACCAAGACCTGAGGAGAGCCGGCCATACACACCACTACCAAGACTGAGGAGAGCCGGCCATACACACCACTACCAAGACTGAGGAGAGCCGGGCCATACACACCACTACCAAGACTGAGGAGAGCCGGCCCATACACATCACTACCAAGACTGAGGAGAGCTGGGCCATACACACCACTACCAAGACTGAGGAGAGCCGGGAGGAGAGCCGGGCCATACACACCACTACCAAGACTGAGGGGCCATACACACACACTACCAAGACTGAGGAAAGCCGGGCCATACACACCACTACCAAGACTGAGGAGAGCCGGGCCATACACACCACTACCAAGACTGAGGAGAGCCGGGCCATACACACCACCACCAAGACTGAGGAGGAGAGCCGGGCCGGCCCATACACACCACCCACCAAGGACCGGAGGAGAAGCCGGGCCATACACACCACCACCACCAAGACCATACACACCACCACCAAGACGGAGGGCCAGGCCATACACACCACTACCAAGACTGAGGAGAGCCGGGCCATACACACCACTACCAAGACTGAGGAGAGCCGGGCCATACACCACTACCAAGACTGAGGAGAGCCGGCCCATACACACCACTACCAAGACTGAGGAGAGCCGGCCATACACACCACTACCAAGACTGAGGAGGAGGGCTGGCCATCCACACACTACCAAGACTGAGGAGAGACGGGCCATACACACCACTACCAAGACTGGAGGAGAGGGGCTGGCCATACACACCACTACCAAGACTAAGAAGAGCAGGCCATACACACACCACCACCAAGACTGAGGAGAGCTGGGCCATACACACCACCAAGACTGTACCCAAGACCCACCACCAAGATTGAGAAGGCAGGCCATACACACAACTACCAAGACTGGAGGAGAGCCAGGCCGTACACACCACTACCAAGACTGAGGAAAGCTGGGCCATACACACCACTACCAAGACTGAGGAAAGCTGGGCCATACACACCACTACCAAGACTGAGGAGAGCCGGCCCATACACATCACTACCAAGACTGAGGAGAGCCGGCCCATACACATCACTACCAAGACTGAGGAGAGCCGAGCCATACACAACACTACCAAGACTAGAAAAGGGCCGGCCCATACACACCACCACCAAGACGGAGGAAAGCTAGACCATACACACCACTACAAGACTGGAGGAGAGCTGGCCCATACACACCACTACCAAGACTGAGGAGAGCCGAGCCATACACACCACTACCAAGACTGAGGAGAGCCGAGCCATACACACCACTACCAAGACTGAGGAGAGCCGGCCATACACACCACTACCAAGACTGAGGAGAGCCGGGCCATACACACCACTACAAAGACTGAGGAGAGCCCCGGGCCATACACACCACTACCAAACCTGAGGAGAGCCGGGCCATACACACCACTACCAAGACTGAGGAGAGCCGGGCCATACACACCACTACACCAAGACTGAGGAGAGCCGGCCCATACACACCACTACCAAGACTGAGGAGAGCCTGGCCCATACACATCACTACCAAGACTGGAGGAGAGCCAGGCCATACACACCACTACCAAGACTGAGGAGAGCTGGGCCATACACACCACCACAAAGACTGAGGAGAGCCGGGACATACACACACCACTACCAAGACTGAGGAGAAACTGGCAAAACAAAGCACTACCAAGACAGACAGAGGAGAGCTGAGCCATACACACCACCACCAAGGAAGAGGAGAGCCGGGCCATACAAACCACAACAAAGACTGAGGAGAGCCGGGCCATACACACCACTACCAACACTGAGGAGAGCGGAGCCATACACACCACTACCAAGACTGAGGAGAGCTGGCCCATACACACCACTACCAAAACTGAGGCGAGCCGGGCCATACACACCACTACCAAGACTGAGGAGAGCCGGAGCATACAACCACCACCAAGACTGAGGAGACCCGGCCATACACACCACTACCAAGACTGCGGAGAGCTGCGCCATACACACACTACCAAGACTGGAGGAGAGCCGGCAATACACACCACTGCCAAGACTGACGGAGACCGGGCAATACACACCACCACTAAGACTGAGGAAAGCCGGGCCATACACACACCACCACCAAGACTGAGGAGAACGGGGCCATACACACCACCACCAAGACTGAGGAGAGCGGGGCATTACACACCACCACCAAGACTGAGGAGAGCCGGGCCATACACACCACTACCAAGACTGGAGGAGAGCTGGCAATACAAACCCACCACCAAGACTGAGGAGAGCGGGCCATACACACCACTACCAAAACTGAGGAGAGCCGGGCCATACACACCACTACCAAGGCTGAGAGGAGAGCCAGGCCATACACAATGCTACCAAGACTGTGGAGAGACCGGCCCATACACACCACTACCAAAAAAACGGAGGAGAGCCGGAGCATACACACCACTACCGAGACTGGAAAAAACTACCAAGCCTGGGCCATACACACCACTACCAAGACTGAGGAGAGTCGGGCCATACACACCACCACCAAGACTGAGGAGAGTCGGGCCATACACACCACCACCAAGACTGAGGAGAGTCGGCCATACACACCACTACCAAGACTGAGGAGAGTCGGGCCATACACACCACTACCAAGACTGAGGAGAGCCGGGCAATACACACCACTACCAAGACTGAGGAGAGTCGGGCCATACACACCACCACCAAGACTGAGGAGAGTCGGGCCATACACACCACCACCAAGACTGAGGAGAGCCGGCCCATACACACCCCCACCAAGACTGAGGAGAGCCGGCCCATACACACCACCCTCAAGACTGAGGAGAGCCGGCCCATACACACCACCCCCTCAAGACTGAGGAGAGCCGGCCCATACACACCACCACCAAGACTGAGGAGAGCCAGGCCATACACACCACTACCAAGACTGAGGAGAGCGGGGCCGGGCCATACACACCACTACCAAGACTGGAGGAGAGCCGGGCCATACACACCACTACCAAGACTAACGAGAGCCGGAGCATACACACCAATACAAGACTGAGGAGAGCCAACCCATACACAACACTACCAAGACTGAGGAGAGCCTGGCCATACACACCACTACCAA